CGTATAATAAATTTGTAACTGCTCGCTATTTGTATATGAAAGACATTTGAGAAACTATTATTGGGGGTCTTTATTAACGCAATAGAACCCAAAACCATTATTTTTAGAATTCTTGTGTGTTTGTCGGTTTGTCTGTGCCTTTGTGCGCGATGATCTCAGAAACGGCTAAACCAATTTGTGTCCGGGTTCACTTATGTATTGTGGTAAGCTTCACTTAACATTTAGTGTTTGTTTTATTTCAATTGGTTTATAAATAAAAAAGTTATGTCAATATAAAGAATCACCTAGGGACGGGCCCGAGCGAAGCAACTCACACTGAGATGCTAGCAAAATAAACAAGGACAGACATACAAGACAAATGGAAGTTGTGAGGGTTCCATTTTCTCCGCTACAGAACCCTAAAAATTAATATATTTTATACTTTATTAATAAGGTAACTGTATTACTTTAACACAATAAAAATAAAAGCAAATTAATTTTAATCAAATAGTGCAAATTCCTTTAAGCTGGTGTCAACATAAGAGATATTATTCTGAATGCAAGCAGCACAAAGACCAAAGACTTGTGTACTGGATATTATAATTAACATTACCGTCGAAGAAAGCTTAAGGTTAATTCTGTTAACTTGGAAGATTAACAAAAATTTTAACACATAAGTATTTTAATGGTCACGAGTAATAAAATCAATTAAGAATGAAATGAAGGGCGTAATAAATAAAAAAAATCTATAGAGCGTCAATGTAAACCTCTACTGTAAGTACCATTTCTACTCAAACGACGACGTTGTATGCATTTTGCTATTAGCCTGTAACTATTGTCCCTAAAAATAGACGATCATGACTTCTGCCATGTTATATGTAAAGCAATTAAGAAATTTAAATACGAATGTTACACAGATTACATTGGCTATAAAACTTGCAGCATGTACAGTAGAAAACCAATATCTCTTAAAATCTAATAGATCTTACTTGTGAATCGTTAGCTATTAATGTCCGTAATAACAGACTAGCGAATTACCCTCGATTCGCTCGGGTTCGTCCCTAGCTTGATTCCCCATACAAACTTTCATCCTCATTTTTACCCCCTTAAGGGATGATTTCTGGGATAAAAAATATCCTATGTCCTTCCCAGGGTTTCAAACTATCTTCTTACCAAATTTCATCTAAATCGGTTCAGTAGATCCAGAGATTACCCCCTACAACGTCACAAACTCACAAACTTTACCTCTTTATTATATTAGTATAGATTAAAAAAAAAAATAACACTGTTTAATTCAGTTATTGTAATGGCTCTTATGTGTGCCAGTTGAGCAATTTTTATGAATATTTTTCAAGATTCTTCCGATGTTTTTTCACATTTAAACATATTACGAGTACATAAATATAATAAAATTCTGAAAATCTGAGTCTAATCTGAACACAAAATATTTTTTGGAAAATTTTATTGAAATAGTCATTATTATCGATACAGAGGTCAAATCTACAGTTATTAGAATTTTTGTCTGTCTGTCTGTTACCGCATCACGAGAAAACCACTGGACAGGTTTTGATCAAATTTGGTATGATGATAGCTGGTTGTCCGGGTCAAGATATAGGATATCTCAGCTTTGAAAAATCTATACCTTAACACGAAACTAAGAACAAACCCGAGCCGAGCGAGGGCAAGTCGCTAGTTTAATTATTCAAATTATCTGCTATAAAATAGATAAATAGTTGTTATAATAGATATTAGATATAAATATTTTAATAAATACGGGTACATTGGTTCACATTTCCATTTCTACGGGAAATTCGATGAAAGCTAGGCAAAATTATTATACTATATTTAAAGTTTACTAAATTATTATTAATATCACAACATCTTAGCCGCGAATTCGCTCAAATGTAAGTAGGTACGTCGATAAAGAAATAGTTGATAGTTCTCTGTATTGAAGTACAGGGTTAAGCTATCTCCATGATTAAATCCACTCAAATCCGTTAACCCGTTACAGCGTAAAGCAGAAGTGCAACGTTTATTTATTCATTTATTTTTGGGAAACAAACAATGAGATAATTCTTAAAAATAATTACAAACTAAAACATCCACACACCAGCAAAGTATCCACCTATAAATATGTCACAGGTACACATGATTAGTTTACCTAAACATTAAAACAATATAATAAAATTTTAATAAAAGGTACTGCAAAAACAACACTACAAAAGGACAACAAAAAAATGACTAAGTCAAAATTACAAAAAAATAAATAAAAAACAAATATAAATAAAAACACAAAAAAGTAAAACTTAAACTCTAACAGAAGGTAATAAAACAATAATAAAAAAACAATATGAATAGGCAATTTTAAAAATGTATTATGGTTACGATAGATATTTTAAAAACACTTTCTTTAATAATGTATTCATCTTTCTTAATAATGTATACAACGTTATAAGAAAATGTACCTTTTTATTCGACATGTACTGAAATATATACTAATCAAACGATTAATTTTGTGAGCGCGAACTGTACGCGTAGTAAACATAAATTGTAAGTAAATAAGATCACGGAAGTATCTATCGCAATAGATTATAGGTATATTGCAGTACAACTACAAACGAAAGGACATAATACGGCAATAATGTGTGGAGCACAATGAAGTGGTCTAATAAGTGTAGCGAGACTGGTATAAATCTTATATAGTGCACGAGCTACTGTCTAATGAATATTTATTCGTGTCGTATGCTAACGGCAGCGTTAATGCTGTCGTTTAAAATAACATTGAAAATAATCGCACTAATTTGTATAAAGTATTCTAAAAGGAAACTTATCAAATTCACGGCCTTCTATTCTTCTGTATTTTAACAAAAGAGTGTGCATAATAGCAAAATGAACTAAATGATGATGTTCTCCTGGCCGATTCCGGCTATGGCGGCCAATCTTAATGAGACTAGCCAACTGCGCAGGAGATATTATAGTGCACAAGTGTACACGCAGACACAAGTGCACTCTCTATTCCTGTCACTCTCATACTCCGATGGGACGACTGCTCGACACGACCAGTGAGAGTTAAGGCGCAGGACCGACGGCTTTACGTGCTCTCCGAGGCACGGGGGTGAAACACCGCCAACTTCCCAACTCTGGACTGTTACTGAGAATTACTATACAGAAAGACTCGATAACTAAACTTGGCCCGACCCGGGACTCGAACCCAGGACCTCCGAATGTGCAGTCGTACATGCTAGCCACTACACCACCGAGGCAGTTATGTGAACTAAATAACATCTGTATGAACGTAAGTAGGTACTAAATACTAATAGTAAATGTATACTAATAATTTCTTCTCTCTCATGTTATTACATATGTCTATCAGCTTTGAAGGTGTTATTATCGTACAGTCAGACTCAGTCTAATGAGTAGTTTTAGCGACAAGTGCCAACATTTGTACGCCACATGTGCTCCGTAACGTTATGTAAATCATCGTGTGCCACTATAAAAACATCACAAATTACTTTATCAAATACATTATCACGTATAATATGATCAATAATGTTTTATACTCTTAGTATTTAATCTATAATTATAAAAGAGGAAAGATTTGTTGATTTGTTTGTTTGTACCGAATAGGCACCGAAACTACTGAACCGATTTAAGTGAAATTTGATAAGAAGTAAGTTGGAAACCCTGGGAAGGACATAGGGTAGTTTTTATCCCGGAAATTATTCCTTAAGGGGGTGACAATGGGGAAGCAACTTAGGGACGAATCCGAGAGTAGCGGTGGTGAGTCGCTAGTTTAATAATATATTGCCTAAAGATATTGCGTAAAGTGTATGTAACGCGATAACATTTTATGATTTAGTTATAAATTGTCAATGGTTAATTAGATAGGTATCAGATATTTTAATTAACTTATTTTCCGTATAAACAAACATACTCAATTAGACTATAATATTGACAGACGATCACGGATCAGACCTCTCGACATTCATACGTAGCAATCAAACGATTAATCATCATTACTATTCATGCAGCAAAACAGTATTAAATTACTAACAAATTATATAAAATGGAAATATGCTGCTACTACCTATTTAGATATTATTATTCGATAGGAAACAACTAGTAAGAAAGTCTAATAAGGACAAAAAAGCACGGGAAAATCACTTGACATTGTGCCAAAGTTTGGCTGACAGTAAGAAGAATACAATTACTTTTTCAAGGAACGTATTACCTATATATATATATATATATATATATATATATATATATACTAGCAGAACCCGCGGCTTCGCTCGCGCTAAAACTACAAAAAACTTTAAATAATTATGAAATAAAAATTTAAAAAAACCCCTACGTAAATTAATTGTCATTTAACGATTACACTGGCACGCGTGAAACACTTAATCGAGTAATCACAAATCGAAAAATAATAAATGAAACTGTATCCGTTTGAGAGCTACGATACCACAGACAGACATACACACACACACACTAACAGACAGACAGACATCGACGTCAAACTTATAACACCCTCTTTTTGCGTCGGGGGTTAAAAAGTAGGTTTCAAGTAGGTAGGTTGAAAGTAACTTTCATCCTCTATTTTACCCCTCTATGGGATGAATTTCGAAAAATGCTAAAACACGTATTTATTTAATGTTATTGAAGAGCATTAATACCAAATTTCAAGTACTTCTGGTCAGAAATACTTTTTGGGTTGTATCATAACGGGTTTTCCCGTGGGAATGAGATTATCTCCCGCTGTAAAAAGTAGCCTATGTCACTCTCCAGCCCTCCAACTTTCTCCACACAAATCACGCCAATCAGTCACTCCGTTTCAACGTGAAAGAAAGACAAACAAACAAACACACTTTCAAATTTATAATATTAGTATGGAAGTATGGATTGTATACCCGCAAGGCAACCTGTATAAATAATAGTAAACAGAATAAAACCGGCATTTTTATAGCGATGAGGAAATATGAGCAACTCCTAAATCTAGGAACTAATTTATGACTGAATCAAGAATGTAACAAAATAATTGCGAGCGCAGCGTCGTCTGGGCCTACGCTTGAATTCAATTGACTGAGGACAATCTCAGTGAGGACATTATCTAATTCCTCTGCATTAACTGTTTACATATAGTATAATATTACTTTAAAATTAAAACTAATAAATATTATTTTATTAAATATGTACTAGCATTGCCCGCGGCTCCGCCCGCGTTCAGGTGACCAAAAACCAAAGTCCTAAGTTTTACATATTAGTATACGTATACTCTTTTATTGCAGTTTTTCTATTTTTTCTCAGAAATGAGATATTCTCCCGTGGTAAAAAGTATTATATATGTTGACCCGGATAACCAGCTATCATCATACCAAATTTCTTCAAAATCCCTCCAGTGGTTTTCCTGTGATGCAGTAACAGACAGACAGACAAAAATTTTAAAAACTATAGATTCGGCCTCTGTATCAATAATAATGTCTATTTCAATAAGATTTTCCAAAAAATATTTAATGTACAGATACACACATTACATTTTCCAAAAAATATTTAATGTACAGATACAGACCGTATTTAAGAACAATTTCAAAAAGAGACGTATAATCGCTACTTGACAGTTGTCACCAAGAAGATGTGAAGAGAGGATGCCGCCGCCAACGCTGCCCACTCGCTCGCGTGACTCCGCAGGTTACATTACATCATTTATTCATTACCGCATGCGAAGGAAATGCTCTCCACGACGGAAATATTAAATTACCATTGCAACTAAACACAATGGAGTATTCGTGTCATTTATACGTTATTAAGTGAGAAATCAATGATACGTGTCAAGAGTTTTGTTTGATTGGAATTACTATTTCTAAAACGATGAGCTTTCACATCGGCAGCTTTATAATAAAAAGTTAAGTGCAAAACTCAAGGCAAAGTGGAGCGGATGGCTGCGCTGCTCTGATCTCATTTAGATCTACAAATAATGCAATGGAATTTTGTACCGGATAAGACCACAAGCAATTCGAGAAGACTTTGAATAATATCTTTACTTACTAATTTACTTTTAAATACACACAACTAACGAGCCTACAACACTGTGGCTGTAATTAGATCAAGCATCTGGTTCTAAATGTTCCGGCACTCCATAAACTAGCGGAATTTTCCGCGATACTGTAAGTATTGATTGAGATTTCTTAAATTCATCAGTCAACATGTGAAAATCATTCACTACTCGTGTTTATAGACGTAAACCCATATACTCGGTAATAAAATAGCACACGCCAGCTCTATAAAACAGGATATATTAATAAATCGAGAATATGTATTCTATTCGATCAGTGATATATTGTTATTAAAATATTCTGCTCTTATATTTTAAAGTAACGAGAGCGGAATTGAAAAAGATTTTATAATAATTGCCCGGTGGGAACATAATAGTGTAATTATATAGATTGCAGCTCGCATTACGTCGTCTGTCTGTGTAGGGTGGCAAGGGAGTTACTGGAATAAGGATAAACGAGGGATTTCTTCTCGCGCTGGAGGCGGCGGCGACGGTACGGGCGCGGAGGGAGTAAACATCGAGTCGCACCAGATGCGAAGTATCAAACAGCGTTAAGCGCCCGCTCCTTCCAATGTTTATTTGCTCACGACGCACATACGCACATTCTAACAATATATCCAAGAAGTAAATGGATATTATAAACAATTTATACGAAATTATTGTTTGAAACGATTAGTACAAACTTACCTATATATATATATATCTGTTTTACTGCATCTAGACTTCCAATATTTATTACACAAGGTTTAGTTTAGGTTAAGTGAATCACTTTAATTTAAAATGCATTAAGCAATACACAATAATGTTATAATAAAATGAATAATAAAGGATTACATTTAAAACTGGGGACTTACAAAGTCCCTAGTTACAGTCCCTAGCTACATTTTAATTATTTTGAGCCGAACCCTTATTCTTTATCTAAAATTAAAGTAGCCTAAGTTTCCCCTTATAACATCAGCTATCTGCCAGTAAAAGTCCCATCAAAATTAGTCCAGCCATTCCAGAGATTAGCCGAAAAAACAGATGGGCAAAATTAAAAAAAAAAGAGTTTTTCTTATAAGTACAGTATGTACACTTCAATTTTATTTATCTGTATAGATTCAATAATATTAAGCTTATAAAAAAATAAAATTTTAAGATATGCATTTTGGTTTGTTTAAATTTATAACTACTACAAGCACTTTATTAGGATAACACAGTTGTATGTTAATTAGCCAACTTCCAAAAAGGAGGAGGTGCTCAATTTGTCAGAATGTTTTTTATATATAATATTTAGACTATTGCCATGTAACAAAAACTACTTACTAAGTTTTAAGAAATTTATTATGTAAATTTTTTGCAGTAGATATTCTTTGTCATCCATTTTATGTACCAGAATAAAATAGCCCATGCTATTACTGTACGATTTTGATACTCCATTCTACATTTCAAAGAAATAGTAATATATAAATAAACTTAAGCATTTGACCTCATCATGTTTCCTTCAATATATTGACATTAACATGTAATTGCATGATTCATACTAATACTTAAATAGATATTTAATTATTCTGTACATGATATAATAATGTAGGACATATGATCATTTTATCAGAAGATTACTTTAATTATTATAATCTTTATATTTTTTGTATATTGTATATTAAATGAAACCTTTGTAGAAAAGAAAAGATCCTGAAATAATAATAAATATATAGAATGCATTTTTAGTGAATAAAGGCAAAACTGTACCAAAAAAAAAGATAACATGAGACGGGGTTGTGATTGTTGAAATAAGCTGAACAATATCACTGGTCATCATTCTATTATTGAACAAATACAAATGAAGATTAGTGCATAATGCCTTAAAAGTAAAATAAAAAAGTATTGATGAGTAAACATTAAGTAGATGATAAGAAATAAAGTTTCCTATAGAATGAACCGTATCTTCACAAATATTTATGGTGTGTAAGGTTGTTGAACCAGGATAAATCAGAAAGTTTTCAAGCACTCCAACCTCTGACATCTAATAGTGATTGCTAGCTATTATTACTGTATGCACCCATGTACCATATCTTATCTATTTGGTTTTAATAGAGATAGAAATGTTCTCCTTGCCCTATTATGAAATTATGCATCACATAAGATAATAAAATCATGAGGAAAGTTCGATTAAATATAAAAGGTAAGATTGTATAATATAAACATATAAAAAATATATTTTTAAAAGCTCTTACTGTTGAAAGCTGCTAATTTTCTTGTGGACCCGAGACGCTTCATAGGGGTGCGTGGTTCCATGTCCCTGTCGTCCAGCGCTGGTGCCTCCGTCGCCGTCGGCGTCGTTGCCCCCGACGCCGACATCCTCGATTCTTACACTGTACCTTCACACAATTTCTATCTAACCATCACCCAAAACAACAAAAAAAAGTTCTTCTACTTTGTCACTCGTTCATACTTTCAAAATTATACGTTGCACGATACAGGAATAAAAAAAATTCGAAGCCCCAAACATTCAAATGCGTCCGGTACGACCAAAAATAACGACCCGATCATACTAAATCACTATGTAGTGGTTTCACCAACAAAACAACAAATCGGCTTAAATAAAGTTATAAATATAAAATAACCACAACTATAAAATATTTTTGACTTCGAAAAAGTTATGGAAATGTTTGTAAAAGTTAAGTAGCGCGCGTTTTATAGCACAACAAACAACCGCGGACAATTCACATCGTATCGCACGATAGCGATACGAATGAAATGAAAAATAATCGTATTGACAAAGAGCACGATTCGCTTGTCTCGTCTGTTTGTGAAAGTGTTGCTATAGCTAAAATGCATCAGATGTGTACAGTTGACACGCAGCTCGCCAATCAAGTTCAAGAATCAAAAATCTATATGAGATCGGATACACCATCCAGAATATTTGTCAATAATTAATTTTAAACGATGAAAGTACCAAAAAAATATAATGTATATATATTATTATCTCCTTTCTTAAAAAAATGTTTCTTTTTATTAAAATGTATAATTAATGAAAATACATGATTTAATTATTTGAATATATATTTTTAATCCAAAAAACCGGATACTCGTATATTAACACATTTAATACTAGCTTCTGCCTTCGGTTTTATAGAGATTTAGTATTTAAATTAATCTTATGATCTACTCAAAACTCCATATAAATCATCAAATTCTTATCTCTAATACGGACAACCACAGTTGGGATCCGACGTAATGCTTAACGAACTCAATTAGAAATTATTTCATATTAGAGATTTATGCGGAGAGCTCGTTATATAAATCTTAGCCGTTTTTAAATTGGACTATGAACTGCACAATGATAATAATCAATAACAAACAAACAGAAAAAAAAAACTTTTCATTCTGCTTCTATTTCATCTTTAAACATAAATTATTAAAAACATTATCTTTCTTACAGCTTCAATTTCTAGTAGGTACAAGTACGTATTCATGTCATTGTGTTAATAAACACACTATCCTTACGTCACGCAGTCGGGTAAAAAGTAATTGAATTTCAATAATATTAATATGAAATTTAAAGAAAATCTAACAAGAAAAATACTTATATTTTACAAGCCACTTCACTCCTTTTTATCCGACTGCGGTTAAGCCCAAAGTAGGGTTATGTGTTTGTTTAATGCTTTACATTCTATTAGCTTGTAACTAACAATATCATATGAAATTTTGGAAATCAATTTGAACCTGCTTGTAATTGTCGTGTCAAAAGAAAATTTGTATATATATTATGTAGTTCAGTCTTACAGTCAATGTTAAAGTATCTCATAGTTTTATGATGCGTTTTCCGTCAGCCAGTCAATCACTGGCATAAGAAGCATAGAAAATCATTAAAGGGGCTTGTTATTGACTTCGAGGTGATTTAAAAACATTAAATTTAAAATTTGGTTTTATTTATCAAATCTGTTTCTACCTTGTAGACTACATTTTAGTTATAATTTCACCACAAGCATATTCTTCGACATCCATACTAATATTATAAATGCGAAAGTAACTCTGCCTGTCTGGTTACCTTCTCACACTTAATCTGCTGAACCGATTTAGACGAAAATTGGTACGAAAATAGTTTGAGACTCTGAGAAGGACATAGGATAGTTTCTATGCCGGAAATCATCCCTTAAGGGGGTGGAAGTTTGTATGAGGAGTCAACCATTTCTCCAGTACTTATCTACTTTTCTATACCAATGTATTTAATATAGTCTATCTATAGTCCATACCATATTAATCGTTAGTCTATACCATGTTAATCGTTAAAACACTTATTACTTAATATTTTCGTACCGTAAACTTCTTCATCTAGAAAATCTAATCTAACCTATCTCACCATATAAATTTTTGAGCCTGAATCTCATGTAAAACAACGATAATAAATATCCAGGAAATAAAACAACAAATAGTTCATAATATATATGTATTCAGATATATATATAAGTGTCGGGACTAGGCGTACAGCCGCAGTGTGTGGTCGGCGGCGGCGGCCAGCAGCCAGGGCTGCGCGGGATGCCAGCGCACGTCCAGCACGCACAGCTCGCCGCGCGGCGCCGGCGCCGGCAGCTGCTTCAACGGCACTAGTAATGGGTTCTGGAGAAGGTCACTGTGGGTGGACAATGTACATTCAATATTATCAATTTGCAATCTATTAGCGTCACTTATAATAAGACTACTATGTAATAAAAATAAAATGTTGATGTTGTCCATCTGAAAGTCTTTTTAATGGTATATTTTGTGTATTTTAGAATGTGTAAAACAATTTCAATTCAAATTTCTGGTGAACCTCGAACTTACAATTTCTTGATGATAAACCACCTCTATATATTAAAATTCAACATTACTGTCCTAATATCCGGAAAAAAATGCTGTGACGGACATACCAAACCTTTTTCAACATCTTATTTATAATCTAAAAAACGTTACCAGTAAGAAAAATAACTATTTTGATAGTCGTTATAAATAAATCAATAAAACGACTAACTTGTAAACCATCCCATGGGACACCACAAGGTACTTGTCGTCGCCGGCGGACGCGAACAGCGGGTAGCGGCGGTGGAAGGCGACTGCGCGCACCGCGCCGCCGTGCAGCCGCAGCGTCTGGTACGGCCGCGCTGACAACTCCAGGTCAAACCTGGGATATCAATTGTTAATATATCAGGGGTCTAAAAACAAACGCGGCAAAATCCCATATAATGTCACTGAACTTTGTCGCCTTTGTTATTAGACCCCTGATATATTACTAGCAGAACTACAAAAAATCTCTAAAAAGGTAAGTTTCATATAAACTTTCATGCCCTATTTTACCCATTTATGGGATGAAATCTGAAAAATGCTAAAACACGTACATATTTTGTTTGTATTGAAGAACATTAATACCAAGTTTCAAGTAATTCTGACGACAAATATTTTTTGGGGTTGTATTAATAAAGTGTTTTCCCGTGGGAAGGGGATAATCTCCCGTGGTAAAAAAATAGCCTATGTCACTCTCCAGCTCACCAAATATCTCCACACATAAAATCACGCCAATCCGTCATTCCGTTTCGACGTGAAATAAGGACAAGCAAGCAAACAAACAAGCAAACACACTTTCACATTTATAATATTAAGTATGGATTGCAAAACATTTTTGCTGCTTATATAATGAATAATAATCGTTGTTATGTTTCTGTCGGCGACGGAAAACCTATCTTCGAGTAACGTGTGTATTAATATAGGGACAATGTCATTTTAGCGTATTATGAATAATTGTTGTAAATATGAAATCTCATTCTTATTAGATTTATTATGTTAAAATAAGTTCTAATTAGTGTAATAAGGTTAGTTTAGAGTATTTTTTGCTTATTTGAATCATATAAGACTATTTAACATTAATTTGAAAGGAATAGGTACGTAAGTAAAATGTTAGCATATAATTACGTAACTTGAAAATGAGATTTTTTGTTTCTTGCAATAGCATAATAGTTTATGTTTTAAATAATAGATTTTATTATAAAACTTATAATAAAACAAGAATTAGGTCGATAGGACTATCCGTTCAAAAGTTATAAGGGAAAATGTATAGTAAAAATGTAGCAACCTAGAAATTTAGATATTTTTGTTTTAAGACTTTTTTAATTAATTATTATATATTGAATATTATGTTTTAATATTGTATAATAGTATGTAAGGCATGTAAATAAATAAATATGTGTAAGGTGTTTTACTGAAAACATAAAATAAAAGGACTCTCAAGGTTTCGGTTTAGGGAAATTTTACTCGAAAAATGAGCTCAAAGTACGCGGCTCTCTGTAAGGTATTAACGGGCCAAATAAAAGGCGAGCCATTTCTCGATTCGAGTCAGTCGCAAGACAGCCACCGAAGAGGCAACAACTAAAAGGAAAAGGAAGAACCGAAACCAAGAGAGAAAAAAGGAAAAATTGTGTTTTTATTTCATCGCCTCTAAGTATAGTCTCCTGTCAACGAAGAAACCCTAGTGGATCGGGACCCAAGCTACGCATTCAGGGGTGCGTGGTGGCGTACATTACCAGCGAACGGACATACTGCCGTGTACGCCAAGAACGTCTGGGAGATTGTCCCAGGTCGACCTCCGGGTACTAGACATACCCTGGTTCTGGTCGTCCGAAACAGTTGGTCCTTCGAGCCGGATCCCTGCTAGAAGAAGTTCAGAAGAAACAGAAGATTGCGTTCAAGATGCCGGTAACCAGGTCGCAGAAGGATGCCCCCTCACGTCCCGGGTCCCGTCCTTCAGATAGGGACGCGACAGATGGAACGTCGGGATCAGAAGGGGTCACGTCAGCGTCGGCGTCATCGGGAACTGCAACTACATCGAACACTTCTTCGGGTACCACGACCACGGAGGGCACCACAGTGACGGAGACTACGGTTACGACTGCAACTACGGCGGCGTCTATGGAAGGCAACAAAGAAGATGCTGCACAGAGGATGACCAGGAAGAGCCAAGAAGATGTACCTGGAAAGGATGTTCAAGGCTCCTCCAAGACCCTGAAACCGATGGGGGTCAGTCGTCGCGCCAGGTCCACGAAGACCACGAGTTCCTCGGCCAGAAGACGCGAGCTAGAAGCAAAGGAAGAGTTGGCACGCCTGGAGTTGAAGCAAGCACAGGCTGAAACTAAGCTAGCCCGTGTCAGATTGGAGATGGCACAGTGTGAAGAAGAGGACTCCGTGGATGAAGACCTGGAAGACAGAACAGCACAGGTGCAGAACTGGATCGAGACGTCTGTGCTGGAGGATGGCAACAAAGTTCAACCAGAGATGCGAGGTCCACACCCCTTGGAAGAGCCACAGAAGATGAAGCCTGAAGAGAACTCCTCAACGAGAGGAGCTACGATTGAAATTCAAGCACTGACGGCAGCATTGAAGGAAGCTCTTACCACGCGAGGACCAGCAGGACAGCCAACCTACATTCACGAGTTACCCTACTTCGACGGCAACAGCAGCGAGTGGATGGCCTTCAAGGTTGTCTATGAAGATACAGCACCGATGTTCAACAACGTCCAGAATATGGCTCGGCTAAGAAGAGCACTGAAGGGCAACGCAAGAGAAGCTATCAAGAGTCTGCTGTACTCCGAAGCCTCTCCGATGGAAGTGATTCAAGCCCTCAGAAGAAGATATGGAAGACCAGATGCACTGGTGCTGGCAGAGTTGGACAAGGTCAAAACGTTGCCGAAGATTTCTGAAAACCCAAGGGACATATGCCTCTTCGCGAGCCAGATCAGCAACAGCGTAGCGGCAATAAAAGGATTGAAGAAACCACAGTACCTGCATTCACCTGAGATGGTGAAACAAATTATTGAGAAGATGCCTACGATCCTCAAGTTCCGATGGTACGACTTCATTGAAACAACAGAAGGCGAGTTCTCCGACCTAACACTGGTGTCCAAGTTCCTGAACAGAGAAGCAGACAAGTGTGGAGCCTATGCATCAACAGAAGAGAAGAGCGGGTTCAGACGGACTCATCGACAAGCAACGCATTCAACTAAGGAAAAGGACTTCAAAGAAAAGGTTTCAAGATCAGAGAAGACTTGCCCCATGTGTGAGGGTGAACACTTCCTCGTCGGGTGTCAGAAGTTCCTGAAGGCGTCTGTGCAAGATCGATGGGCAATAGTGAAGAAAAGCCGCGTTTGCTTCAAGTGTTTACAAGGGACACATCGGAAGGAGAGCTGCAAGAAGCCGTCGTGCAAGGAATGCAAGAGGTGGCATCATCATCTGCTGCACGTCGAGACAGAGAAAAGTTCCTCGGAAGAACAGAAGAACAAACCACAAGAAGTGGCGAGCATCATGGCATCGGTGAATGCGGTCAACAACGCAAGGGCATACCTGAAGATAATTCCGATAGAAATCTTCGGGTCAAAAGGATCAAAGAAGATATTGGCCCTCATGGATGAAGGGTCAACAGTGTCGCTGCTAGACCAGAAGGTAGCAGAAGAAATCGGCGCTCAAGGAAGAAAGGAGGAACTGGTCATCGAGACTGTTGGAGGCAGGCTGATAAGGAAGGAAGACTCTCAGATGCTGGACCTTACGGTGAAGGGGATTCATCAGAAGACCAAGAAGACCTTGAGAAGAGTCCGGACCATCGACGAGTTGAAGCTTGCACCGCAGTTCCTAGAAAAGAAAAGGATAGAAGAGTGTCAACACTTGAAGAAGATTGCTGACTCTCTATATTATAAGGGGGAGTCACCACAGCTGCTCATCGGTCAAGACAACTGGGAGCTAATCGTGACTCAAGAAGTAAGAAGAGGGAAACCAGGACAACCAGTCGCTTCAAGAACAGGACTTGGATGGGTGCTCCACGGGTCAGACACTGGAGGCGCGAAAGTGGTGCACTTCTTAAACACGTGTCTACATGTCAGCACGCCAGAAGAAGAGATGCATCAAGCCATCAAGGATCACTTCGCAATCGAAGCACTTGGAGTACTACCAAGAAGACCCACTACGGATTCAGAAGGAAGAGCACTCACCATCCTAGAGAAGACCTGCAGAAGACTAGAAGATGGTCGATTTGAAGCTGGACTTCTATGGAAAAATGAAGATGAACAGATGCCTGAAAGCTACACGTCTGCCAAGAACCGATTGTTCAACATTGAAAAGAAGATAGACAAAGACCCTCAGCTGAAGACAGAATACAATAAGCAGATCCAGCATCTAATCGACAGCAAGTATGCAGAAGAAGCACCTGGTGGACAAGAAGATTCAAAGAAGACATGGTACCTCCCTCATTTCTCCGTGGTACATCCATTGAAGAAGAAAATAAGGATCGTCTTCGACGCTGCAGCCAAGTCTAAAGGGAGAAGCCTCAACGACGCTTTACTACCGGGACCAGACCTACTGCAATCGCTCTTCGGGGTATTACTGAGGTTCCGGCAAGGCCCGTTTGCAGTGGCAGCCGACATAAAGGAAATGTTCCTGCAAATTCGCATCCGGCCAGAAGATAGAAACAGCTTGAAGTTCCTGTGGCGAGGGGATCGTCGTGACGTAGCACCGAAGGAGTACAGAATGACATCAGTCATCTTCGGCGCGACATCATCTCCTAGCACAGCGATCTACGTGAAGAACCGGAACGCGGCGGACTACAAGAAGCAGTACCCAGAGGCAGCAAAGGCAATCGAGCTGAACCATTACATGGATGACTACCTGCACAGCTTCCATTCAGAAGAGGACTTCAAGAGAATTACAGCGCAGGTGGACTTCATTCACAAAAAGGCGGGCTTCGAACTCCGAGGATGGGCGTCAAACCACTCCGACCTGCTGCAAGACGTGAAGACTGAGTCAGTTGAGAAGACAGAGGTGGACCTTGGTGAGAAGGAAGAGAAGACACTGGGACTACGCTGGTTTACAGAAAGGGACTCCATAGGCTTTAGGGCGAACTTTCGGAACACGCCAGATGAAGTGGCACAAGGACTCAAGGTACCTACGAAGAGAGAAGTCACCAGCGCCGTAATGTCGACCTTCGATCCACTAGGGCTAGCATCACCAATTCTCATCCAAGGCAAAAGGCTGCTCCAGAACATATGGCGAAGTGGCGTCGGTTGGGATGAAGAGATAGAAGAAAAGGAGTACGAGTCATGGAAGACTTACCTGGAGAAGATGAAGCTGCTCCAAGACCTTCAGATCCCGAGATGTCTGGCACCACGTCGCACCGAGGGGGAGCTGCACACGTTCACGGATGCAAGCGAAATGGCGTATGCAGCTACGGTATATTGGAGAACTGAAAATCAAAATGGGACTTATGACGTCAGCTTAGTAGCAGCAAAAGTAAGAGTCGCTCCGTTGAAGCCGGTGTCAATCCCGAGACTCGAGCTGCAAGCGGCCCTCCTAGGAAGCAGATTGGCACACTCGGTCGAGGAAGAAATGGATCTGAAAATAGAAAAGAAGACGTTTTGGACAGACTCCAGTATCGTGCTATCATGGATCAAGACGGACCCGAAAACCTTCAAGACATTCGTGGCTCATCGCTTGGCGGAGATAGAAGATCTCACAAAACCACAGGACTGGAGATGGGTACCGACGGCGCAGAACCCTGCAGATGATGCAACACGTGACGTACCAGAACACTTCGACTGCCAACACCGATGGTACACCGGACCAGGGTTTCTAAGAAGAGATGAAGTTCACTGGCCTGCGGCAAGAACATTCAAGAAAGAAACCACTGGCGAAGAAAAGGCAGCGGACATCGTAGCGACTGCAGGCAGCTCCTATCCATCACCAGATCCCGAAAAGTTCTCGTCGTGGAAAAGACTTTGGCGAGCTACAGCAAGAGTACTGCAGTTCATACAACTCTGCAGAAGAAAGGAAAAGGTCCACGCCAGCAAAGAAGATCCTACCTGGAAAACTACAAAAAGGAATAAGAAAATTGTTGAGAAGCGACATCTGTCTTTAAAAACGTCAGAAAGGAAATACATACCATTGGAAACAAGTCTACTAGAGCAAGCTGAAACGCTGTTGTTAAGAAGAAGTCAAGAGAAATGCTTCAAAGAGGACATCAGGTGCCTACAGCAAGGAAAACAATTAGAGGGCAGCAGCAAGTTGAAAAGGCTCGACGTAGTGCTAGAAGAAGGTCTCCTGCGACTGAAAGGAAGAATCGACGCGATACGAGGGGTTACCAGAGACTACAAACGACCCATCGTACTCGACAGCAAGGACAAGACAACACTTCTCATCATAGAAGAATTTCACTGCCGCTTCAATCACGGGAATCACGCGACTGTAATGAACGAAGTAAGACAACGCTTCTGGGTGCTAGGACTGAGGTCAGCGATCAAGACCATTCAACATCAATGCCAGTGGTGCAAAACAAGAAAGGCAAGACCTCAAGAACTACCAGTGGGCAACTTACCTGCTGAGAGGCTGATGCACGGAAACCCTCCATTTACGTGCACGGGAATAGATTACTTCGGCCCTATGACGATTACCGTAGCAAGACGCCATGAGAAGAGATGGGGTGCTCTATTCACATGCTTAACAACACGAGCTGTACACATTGAGCTCACTCCTTCACTCTCCACTGACAGCATGATCATGGCACTACGACGATTCGCCGCGAGAAGGGGAATGCCAAAGATAATCTACACCGACAATGGCACTAACTTCGTTGGCGCCAACAAAGAACTCAAAGAAGCACTAGACACCATGAAGCAAGAAGACCTTATCTCGGAAGCGGAGAAGATCGGTGTGCAGTGGAAGTTCATACCTCCTGGTGCACCAAACATGGGAGGTGCATGGGAGCGTCTGGTGCGATCCATTAAAACCGCACTGGACGCCACGCTCAACGAAAGGCAACCACGAGAGGAGGTACTTCATACCCTCCTGTTAGAGGCCGAGCACATAGTCAACTCTCGGCCCCTCACCCACCTCTCCGAGAACCCTGAAGAAGAAGCACTTACACCGAACCACTTTCTCATCGGGCGATCATGTGGCGCAGCAAGAATCGGCAGCTTCGAGGACAACGAGCTTGTGGGCAGACACACCTGGAAGGCTACGCAGCGACTTGCCGATCACTTCTGGCAACGTTGGCTGAGAGAGTATTTGCCCACTCTACTACCAAGGAAAACCAAAGGAAGAGTCAGCGCCACAGATTTGCAAGTCGGAGACATCGTACTGATCGTCGATCACAGCCTACCAAGATGCATCTGGCCACGCGGAAGAATCCTGCATGTGTATCCTGGACCAGACGGGCGGACCAGAGTCGTCGACGTCGAGACCAGAGGAGGTGTTCTACGGAGGCCCAGTTCGAGAGTGGTGCTGTTGATGCCGGGAGCGTCGCCGAGTCCAGGAGTTGGTGCAAAGCACGAGGGGGAGAATGTCGGCGACGGAAAACCTATCTTCGAGTAACGTGTGTATTAATATAGGGACAATGTCATTTTAGCGTATTATGAATAATTGTTGTAAATATGAAATCTCATTCTTATTAGATTTATTATGTTAAAATAAGTTCTAATTAGTGTAATAAGGTTAGTTTAGAGTATTTTTTGCTTATTTGAATCATATAAGACTATTTAACATTAATTTGAAAGGAATAGGTACGTAAGTAAAATGTTAGCATATAATTACGTAACTTGAAAATGAGATTTTTTGTTTCTTGCAATAGCATAATAGTTTATGTTTTAAATAATAGATTTTATTATAAAACTTATAATAAAACAAGAATTAGGTCGATAGGACTATCCGTTCAAAAGTTATAAGGGAAAATGTATAGTAAAAATGTAGCAACCTAGAAATTTAGATATTTTTGTTTTAAGACTTTTTTAATTAATTATTATATATTGAATATTATGTTTTAATATTGTATAATAGTATGTAAGGCATGTAAATAAATAAATATGTGTAAGGTGTTTTACTGAAAACATAAAATAAAAGGACTCTCAAGGTTTCGGTTTAGGGAAATTTTACTCGAAAAATGAGCTCAAAGTACGCGGCTCTCTGTAAGGTATTAACGGGCCAAATAAAAGGCGAGCCATTTCTCGATTCGAGTCAGTCGCAAGACAGCCACCGAAGAGGCAACAACTAAAAGGAAAAGGAAGAACCGAAACCAAGAGAGAAAAAAGGAAAAATTGTGTTTTTATTTCATCGCCTCTAAGTATAGTCTCCTGTCAACGAAGAAACCCTAGTGGATCGGGACCCAAGCTACGCATTCAGGGGTGCGTGGTGGCGTACATTACCAGCGAACGGACATACTGCCGTGTACGCCAAGAACGTCTGGGAGATTGTCCCAGGTCGACCTCCGGGTACTAGACATACCCTGGTTCTGGTCGTCCGAAACAGTTTCTATTTTCCATATTCCCTATGGCCTGATCCCCCTCATATTAAAAGGAAGCCCGTGCCCAGAAGTGAGACGTTGAAAAGGGCGGAATACAAACATATAACAATATAAGATATTACCATATAAGTTTCCGATCGTAGGAGGCAACGAGCAGGTTGTCGCCGGCCGGATGCACCGCCATGGCACTGATCCACTGCGCGCCGGTCTGCAGCTTGCGCGTCAGCTCCTGCTTCACCAGGTCGTACACGCGGACCACGCGTTGTGTCTGGTTTGGGTTTAAATGTTATTATTTAGTAATTTCATACCCTTAGAACACGTCCAAGCGAAGCCAGGCTAAATCACTAATATATTATTATTATTTAATACATCGTGCCGTGTACACATATACTTATTTGGTTGTATCCATATTTGGTAACAAATTTGAGTCACAAAGATGTTGTTCAATTGTATAGTATATATTCTATCTTATTTGGATTCGTAGTTTATTCTTGCACCTCCTATGAATATATAAATAAATTATAATATTGACAGTAAGGTATAACATAAACAAACAGCAATCTGACTGCTATAACCAATGTAACAACTTGTATGTATGTATGTGTGTGTGAGAGAGTAAGTTGTTTCTCCTTCACACTAAATTCATTTTCAGAAAATGAAATTTAGTATAGGTTTTTTTTATACATATATTTTCTAGAGCAATCAGAAGACCTTTAATAACTCGTGAACATTACAATATATTCGAAGAACTAGCGACTCACCCTCGCTTCGATCGGATTCGTTTCTAGATTCCCCATACAAACTTTCATCACCATTTTCACCCCCTTAACGGATGATTTCCGAGATAAAAACCATCCTATGTCCTTCCCAGGGTCTCAAACTATCTTCTTACCAAACATCTAAATGGGTTCAGTAGATCCATAGATTATCCCCTACAACCTCACAAACTCACAAATTCAGAAATTTTACCTCTTTATAATATTTAATATTAGTATAGATAGATAAAACAATGGCACCAACCGCAACAAAGAGCAGCGGCCGGTGCGGGTGGAAGAGCGCGCACTGCACCAGGCCCTTGGCGCGGCGGAAGGGCAGCTGGCTGCGGCGGCGCGACAACTGGTGCACCACCACCGCGCGCGACGCGCCCTCCGCCAGCGTCGCCGCCAGGTAGTCGCCCTTCGCGTGCCACGCCAGCTGCAAAGTGGTAAACGACAATCATTATCTATACATCAGTGGCCAAGGATTCATACAAGACGTCTTACCTTAGAATGTATTTTGCTATAATTTTACATACATTTAATTTTTTAAATGTAAAAATGTTCGTTTGGTAATATATATACTCGTATAACAGCTTTATTTATTTCTGCATTAATATATATATATATATATATATATATATATATATATATATATATATATATATATATATATATTTGGAACAGCTTACCTCGGCTAAAATTTCACTTAGCCACTGATACATACACAAATTATCTATACATATATGTCCGTCTGTTTCTCCCGTAACTTCTTCGAAGTGACTGCCACGTCACTTATGACCAACAATCATTGTCCAATGTTACGCAAATCATTTGTATGTATACAGCCGTCTTTAACATCCGATTGCTGTGCACGGGCCTCCCTTCAATACGAGGGGGATCAGGCCATATACAATCGTTAGTATATATGCGGACTATAATACTATGGAACTATTCATATTTGTAAAAAATATGTTTTCTTTGAGGTTGTTATGAGAGGTTATATGACCACCTATCTATTCATATCAAGCTATGAAGAGTTCTTAGAATAAATACATAAACTACGCCAGTTGGCTTACATGTCTTATTGTAAATGCTAAACTATTTTATTTCTAAATGAAATATTTGTAGAAAATACTTATATAACAATTGCTGCGATTGATAATTTCAACGGTCATTCAGGTTAAAATGTATGGCACTATACCAAAAAAAAAAAGTTTATAAAATTAAACAATCGCCGCCTTATATGATATAAATTAATCAAACATTAACATTTTTTCCCTTACAAGGTATCCATGGGAAATAAAACATCATAAAAACAAATAATACAACAATAATCTAATAAACAACACAAGCTCATGTACAACGCGCAAACTAGCGTACGAGAAATAGAAGAAGAAACTAATAAATAAACAAAAGAAATAAATAGATATAAACTCACATGCGTGACGGGCTTGAAGTGCGCGACGCTGACGCGCACGCCACGCGCGCGCTGCGCCGCGTCCGCCTCCTCCCACGACACGCACGACTGCGTGCGCTCGTCCACTGCACACGTATACAATATACATTATTTTTAGCGCTATTTTTTTATTTAAAATTATAAATTAAAATCAATTATGTATCACAATACAATAAATAATATTATTTACAATTTTTTTATTAGTATAAATAACAGTTATTATATTTATTAAAATGATAATTAAAGTTGAGTTAATAATAACTCAATAAGAGATAATAATAGATTTATGAACCAAAAATACTTTTGTAGTAAGTCATTGTAACTTAATAATAATTTTCTCATAAACTATTTGGGCCACGATGATCAATCTCACTGAGAACAACAAAGGTATAGTAGTAGGGGAGCCCACGATGCTAAATGGGGATTTACTCGAGCGTCGTAGAGACCTATTGGGATGCAAAGCTTAGATGATAAGAAGAAAAAAATGTTATATGATATATACCTTTACATCGGTGGGGGAAGCGGCTATAGATTTTTAAATATGTAAAAAAAAACTGTTGCATAGACATCCTCGAGCGCGTCAGATATTGATAGCATCAATTCCCTACGTATTTTTAATAATGTACGTATGTTAATCTGATCGTTTGCATGATGCGGGTGGTTGTATTTAAGGGATGAAAATGAAACAAATAATAATAATCGAGCGCGTCAGATTTTCTAAGGGAGTGTTAAGTGCACCAAAAAAAAGCTCTCATTCACTAATCTGACGATTTCGATGGGACGCAAACTCGCGGCCATTTTCATAATGTGCAAAAAAAATATCGCCATTTTGAAATACTCAAGCGCGTCAGATTAAGATATATATGGTTCATCTTTATGTTCTAAACGTACTGTCTCATAATCTGACGATTATCTAGAGGGATTCGCCTGATCTGACAAAAAAAAAATTAGAAAAACGGTTCACCTTAAAGGCCATACCTGCAACTTCCCGCTAATTCCATTCCTGAGCGCTTAAAATTGTACTTATGGCATTTTTGAGCTCAAAATATAATTTATGTGATATTTTGAGCTCGCTGAGTTCAAAGAAATAATATTTCTATGCATTTGAGCTCTCCCAGCTCGAAAGTCTGATAGAAGTTTCATAGAACACTATTTTTGGAATTTTCAAACCGCAATAACTTTTGAATAGATCAAGCAATTTTCACGCGGTTGACTTTCCGACGATATTCCAAAATATTTACACATTTTTTTAAAGTTTCTACCGTAAATTTATTTGTTTTTTTGTAAGGTACTTTCACCACAAAATACACATTTCAAATTAATGTCACTCATATTAAATATTTATAAACTTTAATTCACACAAATAATATTAAAATAGCAAAAAAAGCCAAAACGTTGGAAACACGTTGTAAACAGTATGCCACGAACGAGTCTTTATAATCAGCTGTGATGGCGTCATGGCGGCAGAAACCAGAGTGGGGACGGAGTGAGAGAGTAATAGATAGAGAAAGAGTGAGAGAGGAATAGAAACGCGGAGAAGGAAATGTAGGCATCACGCAGCTGCACGCATTTAACTTTAGCGACGAATTTTTGTTATTTCGGCTTGCGGAAATCGTCAGATTATATATTTTTCATTATTCTTGAATTATTTCCTTCAAAATAAAAAAAATTTAGCTACGCTCGAGAATATCGAGATGACGTTTTTTTTTTACAACTTTGTTGCCCTCCCCTTTTTTTACGTCACTCTCAAATTGTCAGATTAGTGGAATATACACTTTTTAGGATGTAATTAACTCACCCTACCTTAATCTGATGCGATCGAGAATTTCTGATGGTCAACTTTTTTTTACTAATCTGATCCTGTATCCTTCACGGGCGGCCTTATATATGGGCCTCATGTTTTGTGGAGGTACTTAACCGGGTACAAGGTATCCCCCTGTATATTAATCTGCCGCGCTTTAGTAAATCCCGAAATCCCCGCTTGGGCTCCCCTACTATAGGTTCTGAAAATTCGGGCCGACTCGAGATTTGAACTCTCCACTCTGCATATAATTATACATTATGTCTAAACGTCGGCTTAGCCAATAGTGCGCAACTATATCCGCGCTGGGATCGAGAGACTCATGACTCAGAACCATCTAGTTCCATGGTAAGCTACGAGGCTTGTGTTATAGATATCAGATAGTTGATACGCTACACATACGTGTGTCTGTAACTTTAAATACATACATACTATAAATATAAATACCCATGACTGAAGTACAAACATTCGTGCTAATCACACAAATGTATGCTCCCAGCGGGACTCGAACCCGCGAACATTGGCACAGCAAGTATAGTCACTACAAACCAGGGTTCGAAACGATAATTATCATGATAAATATGGGTTGATAATTATCTTTGATAAATATAATTGAAAATATTTAATTTATAACTCTTCAAATTGTCGATCAGCTAACTGAACTCTCTAAATCAGCTCAAAAAACTCAATCAGCAAACTGAGTTAATGCAGTTGAGCGTTGACGTTGCGTATCGGCACCAGCAAAAATTCTTGCCGACAATTATTGTTAACTTTCCATGCATGGCACGCGACGGTGTTGGTTGGTGACGGAAAGGTCTTGGTCGGTGATGGAACGGTCTAGTGGGCATAGTCTCATACTTTTGAATACAAAGATTTTTTTGTCTGACACGGTCCTGTTATGGTCCTAGGACCACGGTCATGGTTATGAGACGATAGGTATAGTGGGCAGAGACCTTAAATAGTGTCTATGTAGTTGGTTAAATATATTCTGTTTTTATTTCCAAGTTTGTATATCTCAAAATAATGAAAAAAATAATAATAATAAAAGATTACCTTGATTGTTAAAAGTGTATAATTTATTCTAACGTAAATTATGATAGGTAAGTAGTCAAATACCAATACCTACACAAGGATTGCTAAGTTTATATCTGTTTGATAATTATCGGGTAATTATCAGATAATTATCTTGATACTTATCGCGATAATTATCAAAAGATATATTTATCTTGATAATTTCATACCCTGCTACAAACTGAGCCAAAACCCGGAACACTCACTCTGCACATCGTGCTTGGGCGGCGGCTCGGCCAGCAGGTCGTCGGTGCGCGCGGCCACGCGGTGCGCGCCGATGTCCGCGCCGGGGTTGAGCAGCAGCAGGCGGCGGCCGAGCGCGACGCCCACCAGGCTGAGCCCCGCCGCCGGCGTCCACGCCACGCGCGCCACCGGCTCGCCCAGCTCTATAGTGCGCAGGCAGCGCCCCGTGCTCGTCTCCCACACTGGAATTCAAATTAAAATCTTTTATTCAGCATTAAATTATTACAATTTTTTACTGAACGTCATGAGTCTACTACCAATTCGGAACGAAGAAGCATCAGATCTGAGAAGAACTCGCGAAAGAAACTCAACGGGACAAATAATATTTTAATGTTGAATGAATGAATGTGTGTTTTCTTGTTTAGTTGTTTATAGTTTACAAGCATTGCCCGCGTCAGACAGACAGACAAAAAATCTGAAAACTATAAATTCGGCCTTTGTATCGATAATAGTTTATTACAATAAGATTTTCCAAAAAATATTTTAATGTACAGATTCGGCTTAGTTACAATTTTATTATATGTATAGATGTGTAGTGACAGTGCTGACGCGCACATTTTGCATTTATAACATGTGTCGGGCCACTAACCGCAGTTATCTCGTAACCGCTTACCGATTTTCTTGTCAGTTATCTAATCTCTAATATATAAAATTCTCTTGTCAGTGTTTGTAACAAACCTCCTCTGAAACGGCTTATGAAATATTGTGTGTATATTCAGAAGTCTGAGAATAGGACGTAAACCATTTTTCATACCCCTAAGTGATAAGAGTGGTTGCTAGTATTGTTATAAAAGTATACATTATGCTAGGGATATTTTTAGTTCACTTAAAGTGAATATAATATTATAGTAAAGTGACCTTTGACAGTGCCATCATCGCTGCCGGACACGAAGTACTGGCCCGAAGGGTCGAAGTCGACGCTGCGCACGAGCGCGGCGTGCCCCGCCACGCGCAGCACCTCCGTCGTGGGGAAGGGCTGCAGGTCGCGCGGGGACGGCAGCTTGGGCACCAGGTCCTCCGCGCTTATTGTTAGCTGGAATTATATAAAAATAATAAATAATATGTTGGGACATTTACACATAACACCATCTAGTTCCATAGTAAGCTACGAGGCTTGTGTTATGGATACCAAGTAGTTGATACGCTACACATATATAACTTTAGTCGCTAGTAAGTAATAAGAAACGCTCATTTCTAAACACAGTTAAATTTAAGAAATTACGGACAAGTGCGAGTCGGACTCGCCCATCGAACCACCGCGTTCCATACCTTGCTTTTTGCTAAATTTGCGATTCTAGGTCAACGGGAACTACCATAGGTTTTCGACCCAAAACCTATAGGGTACTTCTGGTTGAACTAGAATTGTCAATTTTGGTTAAAAGCAAGGTCTTACAGCACAAGTAAAGGGAAAATCCCAAAAAATAAAAATGTTGAAAATTAAGGTAAATGGTACTTACAAGTTTTCGCGAAAATCTAAATTTGCCCATATCTTTTTATCGTGTTGACTCAAGACCTTGTTTTTTATATACTTGGTATAAATTTCAACTTGGTATAAATAACAACTAGGTTCACCCGTTTCTGAGAAAATCGGTGGTGACACAAGGACAGGCAGACGGACAAGAAAGTGACCTTATAAGGGTTCCTTTTTTTGAGGTACGGAACCCTAAAAATGTAAAGAATAAATAACACTATCACACCAATAATAAATAGCAATAATAATGACTTACTCTCATTTTAATGGCCCTGGGTGCCAAGTAAAGGTCGAGACAGCGCAAGAAGCGTTCCCGCACGAAGCGCGGGTAGGCGGCCACCTCGCGCAGGCTGGCGTGCCGCGTCGGCAGGAACGTGTACTTGCGCTTCCACGGGGTCTCTTTGTTACGTTCCCATTCTTTCATCTGTTGGGATGTTCATTGGGTATATTGTAGTTTAAAGTTTTATAGTTATTGAGTTTATATTGGAGGTGAAATTGATAACAACAACATAGTAATGTAATGTCCGGCTGGATACTGGATATTTAAAAACTTTAAAGTTTAAAAGATCTAATCGAACAGACAGCGGAAGCGACTTCATCTTATACTATGTAAAGATATTCGCGTAAATCTAAGAAAGTGTTAATATTTAAAGAGTTAGAACACTATTTCACGCAACACATACCTCCTTCTTGTCCAACAAGTACTCTGGCGGCGGGTTGTAGCTCTCCGCGTGCGAGGGTAGCGGGCGGCGCGGCGCGGGCAGCGCGCGCGGGCCGTGGCGCCGCGCCGCCGCGTCCTCGTCGCCCGTCGCGCCCCACAGGTTGTAGAAGTTACGTTCCTGGTTACCATTGTTGTTATTATTATTTATTTACTTTATTACACAAAAAAAAACAATGTTAAAAAACAATAAAGCTACATAAAATTCAAAGTATTTCAAAAAAGGAAGGAAAAAGCAGTTTTCTAGTAAGTGGTATCTTAAAAACTATAGCATTTAACACACGACGATTTTTAAAGTAAACTATCATCAACGCGCGTTTTACGAACGCCATTTCTTAATATAATGAACGTAATATGATTTATTAATAAATAATTCAATCATTCAAATCAAACACCACTCACTCTCTTTTTCTTTCTCTCTTCGGCGATCTGTTTCCTTGTTTTAGTCCAGCCCATCTTCAAAGCATGTACTATTTTGGAGATTTGCTTTTGTTCCGATCGCGATGGGAGAAAGGAGCGTTTGTGCTCCGGGAAGGCTCGTAGTGGAGTCGCTAGCACTTCACGGCTGAACCATTCTACCCATGGCTAAAATAAAACATATTAAAATTGTAGTTTTTAAAAACTTATTTTAAAAATCCAACTGAACTCTTCAAAACCAATAAAATAGTTCCAACCTCGAAAGTACTAATAATAGTAGCTATAGGATAGTTCTAGAACATTGATATATAAAAACATGGATACACATTTCCTAACAACAATCTTTACAAAAAGTGGCGGCGACGTGTGAAGTCAAACCAAAGAATTAAATTAAAAAATCGAAAGTTTTAATTGTCTAAATACAAATTCGAACTTACGCACGCCACATAAAGTACTTTTTTAAACGACACAACGTGAGTTTTAATTTCATCATCTGAAAAGCAATGAACAAAAGAGATTTAAAAAAAAGAGCAATTCAATTTGGAATTGTGCACTTCTTTTTGAGGACACTTTTGAGACGATAATTGCCTATCTAGAGTTTTTGTATAATAATGTTCTAGAATCAAATAATGTTATAATCAATCAATTTTACCTCATATTCATCATGCGTGGTGCTGGGCACGCGCGACTGCTTGAGCCGCTCCAGTAGCTGCAAGTCTTCACGCGAAAGCACTATGTCTTGACCCGTAGCGGGATCGCGTACTGTGCGCCAGAACTCAGGGTCTTCCGCTTTTCTAAAGGAGAAAAATCATTAAAATTGGTTCACAATTAGTTCATAGCATCCACAAAAAGTAAATACTCAATAGAGCCTTTTCCTTCTTTAAGTTATTCAGTTTTTAACTGAAATTTTCTATAACTAATTTTATGTTATGCTAGTGACTCACTCTCGCTTCTCTCAGGTAGATCCCATATTTATGATTTAACTGTTAGTATAGAGTAGATAGACTATATATTTTAATATATCTATATACCTATGTAGGTATGATGAGTTTTATATCTCTTACTTGAGAAATGATTGATTCCTCATAAACTCTCATCCTAATTTTCACTCCCTGTAAGGGTTATTTTCTGAAATAAAAAATATCTTATGTCCTTCCCAGCGTCTCAAACTATCTTCATACCAAATATCATATAAATCAGTTCAGCAGACTTTTAATTTATCCATTAGAAACAAACTAATAAACTACCTCTTTATAATATATATAATAATAAAGTATATATACGAGTAGTATAGACTATTGATGATGAATCAGTTTAAATCAAAGTTTTTTTTATATAATGAAACTTATCAAAGCATTAACAGCACACATTAAAGAGGATTTTAGAGGATTTTTTCTTTTTGGTCAGTTAAAATTTACATTAAATCTCAAATATCTCATAATATAAGACAGAAATCAAAATAAGCTGAATAGAATTTATGCAATATACATACTTAAGAAATTCATCAATCTGATCTCTCTGCGGGGGCTTGATAATCCGACGCCCATCTAGATCATAGCCCACATGAGGGTACTCATCGTACCACCACATAGGCACCTCACCAGCAGTGTTTATCCGATCCTCCTCATCTGATGTATCTCCAGACTCATATTCATCTGAAAATGTTAGGCATCACATTACATCTCAACAGTTACCAATATTATAAATAACTAAATATAATCAACAGTTATATATATTTTCATGTGTATGATATTTTAATGATTTTAAAATGCGTTTTTAATAAACTATGTACCATAAACTATAAAACAATAGTTCATCTTATAAACATTTGCATTGTTTTAAATAGTTATATTCTTAAACATTGTATAAGTTTATATTAATTATCATAATTACATCCATAGAGTATTCTAATAATAGCTACAATCAAATTCAAATTATACAATATACTTTAAAGTTAACATTTTGGGTATGAGTTGTGCACCCGATACAGAGCTAAAAAGACGTGCAACTTAATCAAAAATGACAATGATGCATAATAATTGTAATGAACCCAAAATCTTTATACCTTTTACAATAAGATATATGTCCTTATTAATAAAAATGTACCTACCTTTTTGTTGAACTGGCTCTGTCACTGATGCCTCTTGAATTTTGCTGGCTAAAACATCTACACTATTCATCTTTTCCTTTTGATTACTTTTTATCTTTTTCTTTTGCTTAGTTTTTGTTAGTTGTTTAGACTTTTCATCTGTTTTTTTTGATATATTATTTTCTTTTTTCTTTGACAAATTTGGTATTTGTTTTTTCATAGATTCATCACCAGATCCTGATGCCGAGGGAGTTGTTCCTGTTTCAGCACCACTATCGTTACTTTGCTCCTCTTCATCAGACTGTCCGCTCTCATCTTCATCATCGTCATTGTCACTTCCATCTGAATCATCTTCATTTGCATCGTCTTCAGAATCTGTAAGATCCTATTAATCAAAAAGTTGAAAACATCAATGTTTTTTCTTTGAATACTGTACTTTATGGATTAAACTCTAAATATTTTACTTACTGATGATTCTTCTAAGGATTCATTTGATTGCTCATCATTATCTAAAGCAGAATCATCACTTTCTTCAAATAAGACTTCCTGTAATAAAATATAAAAATATATGCTTTCAAATTGGGGATTCTACGGTTCCTACGGCGACACGATTTGAAGGCTGATTCACATAAATCTCGACGAGATACGCCAAAAAGTAAGAATAAATAACATTGTATTAAGCTAAGTTCAATAATTACATTGGCGTATTTAAAAGTTCATTGTTTTTATGTACAATAAGAATTTTTATATAAGAATTTCATACACTTTTTTTGTTTTTCTTAATTTTTTTAATTTGTTTATTATCATTTTTTGATTTTTGATTTTTTTGATGATTGATTTTTTTATGAGATATCTATATACAATAATCTTCATTGCTTTTTAAAAATACAAGTTCTGCTGTTCGTTTTCTGCTTAATCGTGCTCTTTTTTGGGTTGCCAAATTTCCCGCTTTTGAAAATACTCTCTCACACTCCACTGATGTCACCACAATGTGACAGTGCTCATGAAATATTTCCGCCAAATTGGGGTACATAAAGGAGTGGGATTTCCACCAAACTAATGGCGAAGAATCGCGCGGAAGCAATGGTTCATTAATAAACATTTCTAGCTCGTTCACAGCGTTGGTGGTTATGTCGCCGACTGTAGGCGTAATTGCAGCAATGGTTTTGTCTATTTTGCCCCATATAGATATTGTTTCAATACCTTGAGAGGTTGAGGCAGCTCTTGGTGGAATATATGAAATCATTTCAACAGCAGGAGTACCACGTTTTTTTCTAATTTTTATTTTCAATAGGTCCAAGATGTGCGCCATAATTAAATTAACACGCGTTGTGCGCTGACTCATCGTCTCTAAAGTAGGCTCCACTTCAGCAGATGCATTATCAAGGAATGCATGAATCTTAAACCGGGGATCCAGAAATGTGCATAAACCTAGTAGCATATTATCTTCTATAACATGTTGAGGGAAGTAAGTTTCTAATCCTTCCTCTAATTTAAGAAGGAAGTTTTTCGCTACACCATAAATTGGTTTAGTTTTCATTATTGCCATTACGTTTTTTAAGCCATCTACAATAACTATAGCAAGACTTGCAGTAAGGTAGTGGGTGCCACTCATGATTTGTGTAACTTCCTCAAATGGCTTCAAAACTATGCACACTTGCCTTAGTGCTTCCCACATTTCAACTGTTATAATGGGTAAATCAGATCTCAAATTTGGTAAAACGGCCTGTAACGCCCCCTGTAATTTTAAAAATCTCTCCAGCATATAATAAACAGAGTTCCATCGTGTTGGAACGGATTGAATAAGTTGCAGTGCTACAGTTTTTTTTTCACAATCTATTTGATATTTCGCAAGTGACTCTGTCGCTAAATTACTTTTTTTAAAATGACCTACAATTTTTTTTACTTTTTCTAGGATATAGTCTAATAGTACTATCGCCTTTTCAATTATGAGGTTTAGTTTATATAGGAAACAACCGAAAAATGGCCACCCCGTTTTTGCTATTGCACTGGTGATGTTAGTGGAATTATTTGAAACTGCAAGGGTAATTTTTTCAACTATATTCCATTCTAAAGCTATAGCTTTCAAAACCTCTGCCAAAGCGTCAGCGGTATGTGTGCCACTGAAATGTTCACAGTGCAGCAAAACCGTTTTCATTTCAAAGTCAATAAGGAAATGAGCTGTCACAGCTAAATATGCATCCATGACCTGAGATGTCCAGCAGTCCATAGTAAGACAGACATTTTTCGCTTTTTGGACTAATTCCATCATTTGATTTTTACAATCTAAATACCAGTCTGGTATTAAGGTTTTGGATATTAATTTTCTATTAGGCAACTCGTAACTTGGATTCAAAGCTTCGACGAAACCTTTGAAACCATTATCTTCGACTACTGAAAATGGTTGATAGTCCTGAGTAATCATTCGAAGTAATTTTTTATCAATTATTTTTTTTCGTTTTTCGTCCATTTTCCGTGGCACATACGCGGTTATTTGTTTTTGCCTGCGATACTGCGATTTGAATGGTGCATCTAGTGGCACTGTTTGCATATCCGCTGGGTGAACTGTCTGTTGTTGCGAAGCGTTTGTGCTTTGTGCTCCCTGTTCATAAATCGATGGTTGACGATTTTCTGTCGTACGGGTCGTTTCGGTTTTCGGTGAATTTAAAAAGTTTTGATACGCTCTTATATGTTTATATTTCAAATGTTTTTTTAAATTGGTAATAGAAGTTTTATATGAATATTCTTTTTTACACATTATACACTTCGCCACACTCTTTCCTGGGATTTTTTTATAATGATTCCAAATGGATGCACTCATTGTTCGTTGTTATTAAAAATTCACTAATAAGAACTTAACTAAATTGTTATATTTACACTAACTACTATCTATATTTATTTAAATATAATTACAACGAAAACACAAAACTTAAGTAAATTGGTATATTAAATATTTACACTATTACAATGTATGTATTAATGTAGTATCGCAATTCACATTTCACATCTAATATATATTATATCATAAATGATAAATCATTTAGCGCGACAAGTAAAATAATATCATTACTGTCAGTGTCAACTGTCAACTATTATTACTTTCATATTACATTTCATTTCGTGCCTTGTGATAAATTGTGACCTGCTACAAATACAAATTAATAAGGAAATCGAAACTTTATCCGCTTGGACTTAAAGTTTATTTTAAAAATTCACGAAGTGGTATTCGACGGTATATTGTTGTTTACAAGTAATAACGCATCAGCAACATATATTTTTCTCTTTCTAACTCGCCCACTTGCCCATTTCATGCCTACTCGCTCGCTCTCTAATTAGCAATGACGAGTGACGCGGATTTAATTCTACGATGAAATCCGAATTAGTGATGTGCCAACTCGGAAAAAATGACTCGATTTAACTCGAGTTGAAATTCACGCAACTCGAGTTAACTGGATGAAAAATGAAGTGAATGATTTGTTTCGTTTGTACCAATTTAATGACTCGGCTTCGCAACAATATAAAAAAAATACAGATAGGTACAGATTCGTAATAAAATATACTTATTGGGACAATTATAATCTATACATTTAACAAAATTGTAAATAAGCCGAATCTGTACATTAAATATTTTTTGGAAAATCTTATTGAAATAGAGATTATTATCGATACAGAGTACGAATCTATAGTTTTTAGAATTTTTGTCTGTCTGTCTGTTACCGCATCACGGGAAAACCACTGGATGGATTTTAATGAAATTTGGTTTGATGATAGCTGGTTATTCGGGTCAACATATAGGATACTTTTTACTGCGGGAAAATTTCTTATCTTTGAGAACTCTATACTAAACGTTAAAACATAAGTAGGGACGAACCCAAGCGGAGCGAGGGTGAATCACTAGTTATTTATATTTTTTATTATTTATTTATATTAACACTAGCAGAACCCGTGCCTTCGTTCGCGCGAGAACTACAAAAAAAAACACTCTAAAAAGGAAGGTTTCGGACGACAGCTCTTTAAGTTAAACACTGTGGCATCTTATTCGGTTGTAATAGAAGCGATTTTGCAACATAAATGTATAGCCTGAAGTGCTAACGACTGTACAAAGCGTGCACACAACGCACGATCGCCGCGCTTGCGTAAGAATGAGAGCGCGTCAACCGCGTACTCGCTTGATTCGTTCATTTCCCACGCCATTACAAATTCGAGTCAGAGAATTCAACTCGAGTTATTTCGAGTTAAGCCCAACTCGAGTTAACTCGAGTTAGTAAATCGAGTTGACACATCTTTAATCCGAATATGATCTGTGATTTCATCAAGGTGTGATTTGTAGCCACTGGTCTCGAACCTACCGATTTTTCGGTATTTCTACCGATATGAGGTCTGTCCTACCGAAATACCGAAACGTAACGATTTTTCACGATATCAAAGAAAACGTAGAAAATCTCCCGATTTTTTACCGATTTTACGGTTCGTAGTTGGCATTTTCATTTATGTATTATATGGGGAAATCCAAAAAATCCTTCTAGAGTATATTGATATACATATTTATTTCCGGGACTTGGGTCTTACAACTCCACGTTTTAGCGGATTCCCAAACTGTATATAAAGAAGAATTCAGGGTTTTATTTTTCATTAATTTTATTAACTTCAAAGAGAAAATTTACACATAAATAATTTACAGTAGTCTATTCTGAAACAACTCCATAGGTTTTTTTTATATTTAAAAATAACATCTAATTGTGGCAGCAATGCTAAGTATGACATGTCACCATGTTTCTATTATGACTTAGACACACCATCGATACCTATTTGTAAACTATTCTGGTATCTTTATGGTCATATCAATATCTTTTAAACATTAATGATAATGAAAATAATAATAAATAAACTTTTTTTGAATGAATATTGTTTTTTTTTTCATCTACCAATTATGGGTCCAAATATACCAATTTTTGTAGGCAACTCTACCGATTTCGCACTAGGACTGTTGATATTTTTTAAAATATCGGATTTTCGATATATCGATATTTTTAAATATATCAATATCGAAGCTTGATATATCGAAAAAAAATATCGATATTTCGATATATCGGCTTTATTTAAAAAAAAATATTGTAAGGCAGGTCAAAAATGATTACACAGTTTATAATTCAGTATATTTATTAAACAAATTAAATTAAAAATGTATAAAAGTGTTAGGATATAGTTCTTAGTAATTATTGTTTAATTTAGGTGAGACAATCATGTGTACCAATATTTTTCAGTAAGAGTTTTTGAAAATACTCTTTGTTTTATATGTTCAGCTGTTTGACTACTACGATTATTAGACACTAACAGATTGATTTTAGGAGCAACTAGTTCAGATGCTACAGATGTAACAGAAGAAATTAAATATTTAACAGCTATTTCTGATAGCACGGGAGTAAAATGCCTACTATCGGTCCAAAATTTTAGCGCATTTGATAACCTTGAAATATTTGGCTGATCTAAATACTGCTTCAATTCAACAGGTATCGTACCAAAACTTCTACCAGAAACTTCATTGGCATTGGCCATATTTTTCAAGAGCATATCTTCATGTCTATCCCATGAGGATGAAGTTGTTTCTTTTTCTCCACGTGGAGAAGCGCCTACTGTAGGTGAACGATTTCCTCTTATTTTGTGTACTTCAATTATTTCTTTTGAGAGATCTGATTGCATTAGCAACAGCCAATGCCGACATGAAATGTAATTTTTTGAAGCGAGGATCTAAGATAGTTGCTTTGGCCAAAAAAAGGTTTTCTTGTAAAGGCACTACTCTACTTTGAATACCATTCAATAAATCATTTTGTACTGACACTGCAATAGCAGTTGATGGCTTAGTTTGTTCGATTTCTTGTTTTAATAAATTTGTTAGTGGTATAACTAAACTAGCTGTGACATATTTCTCGGCACTCAAATCTTCTGTTACTATTTTAAATGGACTAAGTAGCGTGACTAAATTGCGCAAAATAGTTAACTGCGAAGTAGTAACCATGTCCATATGTAAAAAATATCGACCATCGATATCTACATTTCAATATCGAACTATCGATATATCATCCAAAAAAAATTTTGTAATAAATATCGATATTTCTAAATGATAATATCGATATTTTATCAACAGCCCTATTTCGCACATTGACGTGCGAGACCACAGTTTGTAGCAGTCACTGTGAACTTAAGTAGCAGGTGCGATGTATGAAAACGCATTCATATGATTTTTCACTTGCTACTCATGAAATGTTCCATGCCTAATCGAAATGTTTTATCTTTACATTTCGGCATATCTCGTCGAGATATATACGAATCAGCCATCAAATCGTGGCTCCGTAGGAACCGTAGACGTGCCGTAGTTTAAAAAACATTATTAATTAAATTAGGTTAGGGTTACAGGTGCGCATTTTGCAATTAGTTGTTTACTTTTTTAATTGTGAATGTATCTTCTTCTCTACAGAAAGTTACTTATGATAATAGTAGTTATTAAACACTACTCACATCTCTTTCGCCATCTGATGCATTGTCTCCTTCGTGTTCCGAGTCTGTAGCATCACTTCCATTGTCAATATCTCCTTTCATTAAATCTTCTACATTATCAGAATCATTTGAATCCTGTAGAATAAATGCAAAACAAATAATAAATAGTTTAAAAATACTTTTTACAGCAATTCATAAAACCGACTATAAAAATGAGCAAAAAGGCCTTACCTCTTTGGGTACATTGTCTTTTTCTTTTCCAGAGTCAAGTTTTCTTTTTAACAATCCAGCTTTAAATGGTGGCATTTTTTATTATGTTACAGTTTAACCTATTCCATTGGAAATTTATAATAAAAACATTACTTTTCATAGAAACAAACACGTGTTTCTGGCATTTAGCGAATATTGATTTTAAATGTCAATGTCAATTGTGACACATGCAGTCAATTTTCGTCAAAAAATAATTTTATAGAAGTGAAAATATAAAATATATTTTTTATGAATTCTTTTATTTATGAAAATTACATTGTAAAAGGCTTAGAAACGCATATTACAAATATTAATACATATTTTAATGGACAAGACATAGCAGATAGAGCTATTTTAATTTTTAACTACATATTCTTTGACAGTTTAATGTTAACATTCGTAGCATTTTTGTCGTATAATTTGAAAATTTAGATTTTAGGTTATGTTATGTAAAATTGAAGATTTTAAATACATATATTTAAAAGGATATTATTTATTAAATTTATGAAAATGCTTTGTGTATAAAAAATTGATCCTTTTCGTCTTCAATTGCTTTTCAATTAAATATTCACTTAAAAATGTTCCGACAATTATTTAAAGCCTTGGAACCTTTTAGGAATCAATTGGTAAGTCTTAAAATTCTTTCTGTGTTTTTCGTTCCTATAATATTTTCTGATTTATGTAGATGTTAAGTATTTACTAACGCATATTAATTTTAGTGAGTAATATTTTCAGAGTCGCGCTGTTGCCGGCAATGGCAATGCATTTCAGCAAAATTGTATATCAAAGGAACAGAAACTAACAGAAGCATTAAAGAAATCACTACCAGGTATAACTTACGTTAGTGTGGAAGATATATCAGGAGGTTGTGGAGCTATGTTTGAGGTATACAATAACATACTTAATATTTGACAAACTATTATAATATATTAAAGATACCTACTTCTATTTTTAAATAAATAAATTTTTGCTAATAATTTCAGATTAGTATAGAAGCTAAAGAATTTGTAGGTCTTTCTACAATTAAGCAACATAGGCTTGTAACACAATCATTGAAAAGTGAAATCGCTGAAATGCATGGTATAAGAATCCACACTTCACCTACACCAACAAAAGAATGATTGTGACGATGATATAGAAGAAAATAATATTTCAAAGAAATGAGAATCCTTGTCACAATAAAACATTATAACTAGATGCAACTGTTAAAATAGTACCTATTTTGTTTTATTTTTCTAATGAAAATTTTAATTATTTGAATGAGTGACAAACTCACGTTATTGTTAATATTTATTAATAGAGACATCCAGATATGTTGTCTTTATTTATCGAATATATTTTATTGTTTCTGTTAAGAACTGAACATTCTTAGTATATATGTATGTATATATTTAGAGTCAATAATCAATATGTATTCTTTTAAAATGTGTGTTGTTAAGTTTAATTAATAACATATTAAATTTGATTAATCAATGTTACATATTTTAATTTATTAATTTATTGGATATGCAGGGTGTATTGCTACTACCCTCCTCTATCTACCCAAACCTAGGACTGAACAAACATGATAATTAGTCAGACATATAAAAAAGCAGTCATGAGGACTCCCGACAGAAGTGAAAACTTAAAAATATAAAGTTGTTTTTTTGGGATATTCAAATTATTTGATCTTAAATAAAAATTTGTCAATTAAAACTGTTTACATTTATTTGGTTTTGACATCTATCGGCATTGAGCAACAATCATATTTATTTTCATATGGTTTATTTATCACCAAAACACATGGGCTGTGCAAGCCAAGTAGTATAAGTATTCAGCCCTTTTTAACGTCTCACTGCTGGGCACGGGCTTCCCTTCAAAACGAGGGGGATCAGGCCATAGTCTACCAAACTGGCCAAGTGCGGGTTGGCGGACTTTACATGTCTTTCGAAAACTTGTTAGGTTCTCTCAGACATGCAGGTTTCTACGATGTTTTCCTTCACCGTAATGCAAGTGGTAATCATGTTAGAAATGATTCGCACATAAAAATATCAGAGGTGCGAGACCCGGAATTTGAACCCGCTTCACTCGGTTTCCCAAGCGAGCATGTTACCACTGGACTACCACTGCATAGTATTAAATATGAATACAACTTAACATAATAACGAATATACATTTTTGTTATCTATATACCTAATATCTGCATTCAATTCACTTAATTCTTTCCATCAATTATCACTCACTTCAACAATATTCAAGCTATTTGTACTGTCAATCATCTGATTATATTCTTAAAACAATACAATTAGGCCTAAGGTAAATAAAAAAAATAAATGTGCAATTCACACATCGTAGAAGTGAAACTTCAGAAAATGATATGAATATAGGGTATCAGGAGTAGGATAATCATAAGGATTTTTTTATATTATTTTTACCAAGTTTAAAAGTTATTTTACATTTTATTTGACATAAATATAAACATTACATAATAATCAGTAATGAATTTTATTATTTTTCACTTCCTTTGTAATGTATTCTATCAAATAACAACGGTTACCATGACAACGGTTACCATGGCATCATCGCAATGTATTCTATCTCATTCTATCGCCGGCTTAATCCTATATATTTATATGTTTGTCTCTTTTTACTGTCGCATTTCCGTTGCATCGAGTTTCAAATCACAACGATTCTAAAGAAGTTTCACTTCAATAAGAAACAAAAATTCTTGATTGAAAATGTAATTGTCTGGTAAAAACCGCGTCGATCGTAGTTTTATGTAATATATAGTCCAAGAGCCCGCGACGATCAGACCTTCGTTATTTATTAAAAGCTGAAAGTTTCTCTGTATGTCCCCAACGCCGAACGAATATCCTCGACTATGAAGCTTGGATCATGGTGACTTTGGCAGGTAAGAGGTAGCAAAGGTGTATAAAATTGCACCGCAAATTCGTTATAGTACAATGCTCAGTTTTTATATATTTTCACTTCCTCAAAAAGGAGGAGGTTCCCAATTCGATGTTTGTTACCTCAGAACTTCGTCATTTATTAACCGATTTGGACAATTTTTGTTTTGTTTGAAAGTGTATACTTACAGTTGATACAAAGTAAAGCACACCAACTCCGAAAATATTTGATTAGGTATTTCTTGAAGTCGGTTTTATTTTTTTGTTAAAAAGTTTTTATATATGGAATACTATTAGAAATCACGTCGTCAATTGTAAGATAGTACCATTACAATCCCTTGTCAGAAAAATTGAATTTCTCGCTTTTCCTCATTGGCCTGGCGCATATGATCATAAAAATCGTTATAATACATAATGTTTTCTTTTTTTTTAGCTATAGCTCCAAGTTTATTGAGCATTGCAAATTGTAAACCATTATTTATCAATACAGTCGGGTCATTGTATAATTCTTCAAACGAGTTTTTATCGGGAAGTATGCCAACAACATCTCTTATTTTCTCATTATCATCCGAAACCTCTTCGCGGCATAATTCTGTAAAGTTTTTTTCAATGTCTATGTTGGATTCAAACTCTTTTCTTTTCTGTAATATGAGATCTATATTTTCATCATATAATTGAATAAATTTCTTATCTTCAAGGATTTCAGTTCCCTCATGACGAAATGGAATGTGCAAAGTTACCATTTCTCTCCTATATTCGTTGAAATCAGTAGCCATATCGTAATTGCGATAACGTATTACTCTCGGTTCATCTCGTTTGACATATTCTCCCTTGATATTTTTGTAGTAATTAGAAACGAATTGCGCTAGAGATACATTTTCTAAATCTTCAGGTCTACTTTCATACTTGTCGAACCAGTTTTGTTTCCATATATCTGTACAATCGTCGTTTAATTCACTCAATTCCTTCATAGTCTTTTTTATTCTTTGCCTTTCAATGGGCCATACAGTTGGTATGTAGACAATGCTGTTTGAACTTTTTGACATCGGCTCTTTCAACAAATACCAAGCTGCTTCTTGACTTGTCATCTCGGCGTGATTTAGAAGATTGATACTAATATTTTTAGTGATTTCAAATATATCGAATTCTGGGTGTTCATCGATAATTTCAATTATTTTCCTCTGTAAATTACTGACACCTCTATTACTTTTATTAACGTATTCAACGACGTAAGCTGCGCACGAATACTCTTCTGTTATAAATTGAAAGTCTGTATTAGATTTTACAATATTCAATATAAATGGATTAAAAGGATTGTACCATTTTTCGTAAGGTTGACGCTTCGGAAAAACCTTTGGTCTATTGATTCCTGCACGAATGATATTAACATATTCTTGATATGAGTTAATATTATTATCTTCAAAAAATGTTTGGAAATTATCGTATTCATAATTTTCCATTTTTTTTCTGAGAGCGTTATATTTTGCCTTATACTCTTTAAATTCAGCTTCGTTGTCTTTCATCGGTGTCAATATCACAGTGTTCTTAACAGGCATAAAAGGAGCTTCAAATCTACATTTTTGCATTCTTTTTGATGCTACTCCCTTGTAGCATGTAAAAGTATGATTGTGTTGTTGTAATTTAATATTACCTGATGCCTCTCCAGCAGATACTGATATAAGGAAATCTATGAGATCGATAGCTTTATTATAATCTCTTCCTAGTGCATCTTCGGGAGCATTATCTAGCCAAGCTAAAATGTGCGCATGGGGACTACCCCGATGTTGAAATTCGATTCTTTTGAAATAATGCAAAATTCTGTATTTCTTGAAAGGACTAACATTTTTTGATTTTAAAATATCCATGAGAACATTGACCAACTTATTGAAATATATAGCGCAAGTAATTGAGTCTTCATTAATAAGTGTACTTTTTTCAATGAAATGTAATGCTGCAACGTCTTCAACTGATATTTCAGAATTATTTTTTAAATTATGCAATAATAGTAGCAGTTTGGGCCATCCTAATTCATTAGCACTTATTGTAAAAAAAACTGTTGGCTTACCGTATTGTCTTATCATTGCAAACAGGTCCTTTTTCTTTTCTGACCAATAATATGCAGAATTCGGGATTGTGCGTAGAAAAGCCAATTTACTTTCAATATATCCGTATATATAATTTTCTGATTCTATTTGTTGTTTAGTTATACTAGCATCTTTTCCAACACGTTTGAACGCTATAGAGAGCGAATCTCGTATTCTTATTCTCATTATTTTCATCGCCAAGTATAACAAATGCTGAGGGGTAACTCCTCGTCTGTCGGATCGTCGAAGTTCACTTGTTGCCATCATAAAAGGAGTCACAATAAGGCCTTCACGAAAAGTTCTAAATTGACCCAAGTATATTTGTGGAAAAGATAATTCTTCTTCGTGTTCATCAAATAATAAACTATTGGGAACATTATCTTCTCCAGAAGCAATTCTCAAGTACATTTCGTCATTCCACATTAATGTTTGTTGCTGTGCCATAAAACTTTCATCAAATGGTATTCGTTCTAAAATGTCATTGTCACCATCTTCATCGTAGGTTATTTCACCTTTTATATCATCTTGACCGTTTAGGAAGCTATCATCAACTGTAATACCGTAAAAGGTATAAAGAGGTGTATCTTTCAAATATTGCAACCACGCCTTTATTTTTCTTTTGTTGACTATACCATAAACGTAGCTAGATTTGTGTATTTTTTTTCTCTTGATGTGAACCATAATGTTATGATCGTCATCTACACTTCTTGGCAATGCACGTACCATTGTATTTACTTCTATTGGGACATTTATCACCTGCTCATAAATGCCAAATTCACCGAGATCATGTCGAATCTGCATAAATGGAATTCTCGGAGATATGAGTCTTTCTGTAACCAAATTTAAAGGATTTTTTTTAAGATTTTCTGGAAATGGAGGATATTTGAATCCATTATATACAGAAAGTGGTGGAACACGATTAATTTTAATTGTTCTAAAACACGTTGAGCATATTTTCACCTCAGCTAGATTCGAATTTGGAAGCATTGTTCTTATAAATTCAATACAAGGAGTCGCATCGTTATTAAGAAAAAATTTTAAATCATTTTTAAACCACAGTCTATCACAAATGTCGCAAACATGGCCAAAATCATTGTCAATAAATTTTTTTTGAAACTCCATATGTGCACGGGAATCCTGTACGAAAGAAGAGTATGTTTGTACAGGTAGATGATGTTGAAAAACCATGGATTGCATATTATTTTGAACATGGTTCGGATGAATATTTCGAGTATTTGATTCATCGTTTGTTATTATTGGACTATTTATTTGTGGTTCATCATTAATTTCAACTTCTAAAGGCATCTCATTGTGAATTTCATCATCAGAATAAGAATGTGACTCTGAAATGTATAGTTCATTCCAAGTTGATAGGCCAGCAGTTTGAGTTGGTGGTACATATGGCACATCTCTTGTTGACGGTCCTGCAATTTGAGAGGTATGGAAATTCTGACATTCAGAAGCATGCTTTACAATTATTCCTGAGCATTGATCTACACGTAAATTCATCAAATTCATTCTTTTTCTATCTCTGTAACGCTGAGATGCTTCTTTGTATCTTTCTTTTCGACGTTTAATTTTTTCCTTCTCCTCAACTGTTATTGTTTGTGGATTAGAAATTTGTAAATTAACTGTAGCATTCATAATTTTTTTTTTATGTCTATATCGCTGACACCTAATTTTATTTTGAAATTTTCTTCTTTTTTCTTTAACATTGTTTTCTTCACTTGTGTCATTTGGAGAATATGCTCCTATCGATTCTTCACAATCTTCTCGTATTTTCTTTCTTCTGTCGTCTGAAGACATCTTTAACGTTGTTCACACACAATCGAGGATCTAAAAAAATATAAAAAATAGATATTTAGAGAGAAAAACAATATTACATTTTTTTGTAAACTAATGATAGAATTAAAATTAATAGAATTAATAATAATAATAAAATGTATTATTATTAATAATAGAATTAAGAAAATACAAATATAATTTAAAATAAGAAATACAAACTTTGTAATATTTATTATTTTAAATTATATTTGTTACTATCCAGTATCCACTATTTGTATAAATACTTAGTACCATATATATACATATACATATTTTAAACGGATATTTCGATAATATAAGCTAACAAACAATAATTTTCAATTAGTAATTATATTTTCAGAATTAAACATATAAGTCTAAAGTTATTTAAATAAATAATAGATCTACGGAAAAACATTATCACACTATAAATTTGTTTTATCACGTTAGTAAAATAACTCATTGCATAGTAATTGTAGGTATTAAAAAAAAAAATAATGAAGTTCTTTATTATTTAGGTAATATTGCTACAAAAGCTTCGTTTTCTTTGTTATTTTAACTATATTTCAATTTGAAAATATTAATATATTTTATACTCACTTTGTACTGCACAGTAATCGTATACTTAAAATTCAAAATAAAAATTAAACAAAAAAAGCAGTCATGAGGACTGCCGTGCCGACAGAATTGAAAACTTAAAACTATAAAGTATAAACAAACAGTTGTTATTTTTGGATACCCATTCAAATTGTTTGATCTTAGATTAAAAATTTGTAAACTGTTTACATTTATCTGGTTTTGACAATTAAGTTTGACATCTATCGGCATTCGGCACTCTGAGTATTAGCCAGTGTAGCCAACTTAGGGATTTTTCCCCCCAAATTTAGGGGTAAAAAATCGCACCGGGGTTTTTTTAGAGGGAAAAAATGTTTAGGTTTTTTTCTTTAATAGCATGACTTAAATGTAAATAACGTTTTATAAAGTTTCGTATAAAAACTTGGGAAAATCATTTATTTTTAAATATCATTTATTCTTTTTTTCAAGTTATCTATGAAATTTATTATTATTACTATTATTATTATTATTAAATGGTTTTAGGTAATATGTAAATATTATAATAATAACCATAAAAAAGATTTTTACGCTACTTGTAATCAATAAAAATATTTTTTCTATTAAAAATTTAAAAATATAGTAGTAGTAGTAGTAGTACCTACACTTTTCAAATTGTCAGTTAGGAGCTTAGAGTATACATAAACTATAGAGCACGCGCTAGCAAAGTATGAACTGTAAGCACGGGTATGAACAATCTCGAAATGTCAAGGGCGACGCTATTAGTCACGAAAAGTCAATCGCGCTGACTGTTTCTCTTATTGGTATTTATGAACTAAGATCCCACTGTAACATTGCTACGTTCATAGCGTATTTAATCGAAATCAATTTTTTATATCTATATATATATATAAAAGAAAGTCGTGTTAGTTACACTATTTATAACTCCAGAACGGCTGAACCGATTTGACTGAAAATTGGCGGGGAGGTAGCTTAGAACCCAGAGACGGACATAGGATACTTTTTATCCCGTTCGACCGCGTTCCAATTTTTATGATATTTTAATTTTTGGATTTCTCTTAGTCTGGAATATAGTCCGGTCAAATTAGCTCCATAAATAGGGGTAAAGCTACATTAATTCGCACCCAGCTAAAAATTGGCATGAATATTGGGGGCCCTAGTACACACAATTTGTCAATTATCCACATCAATCCAACGTGTGCAAAAAAATTTAATCAAGGTCAAATGTTGCAAAAATCGGTTTTTTGAGTTTTCCAGCTAAACGGTAAGTTTTATTATGAAAATAGGTGAGACAAAAATTATTCATCATGCAATTATCTGTAAAAATTGGTTATACACTTTTTTTCCTAAGAATCACCATTTCGGAGATATAGTGATGCAAAATGTTGAAAAAGTTGTGTTACTCATAATATATATGTCAATTATCGTTTTAAACGTTACAGAACGTTAATATAAGTAAAAATATTAGTTTTCGTGGCGTATACATACATACTATACAATTGTAAGAATATGAACTCGAAAAAGAACCCAGTCCCTCATTTTATATGACTGTACGGCCTTGAGCAACATCTGTCTGCTATTCAATTGTCCGTCCAAAAAATTCGCGTCCAAAAAAAATTATGTGCTTAGATAAGTTTCGATACTTATGTTTTGCTAAAAATACGCATAAAAAAAACAAGTACAACTAGCTTGTCTTCCTCCAACCTCTGCTTCTGCTCAGCAACATCTATTTCGGGTATATTATCAAGTTCAAGTATGGCTCGGTAATAAACTAAACCCAGAAGACTGGGGTTGGAAGTTAATTGACAATATATTGGAACCAGTTAAGACTTTACTCCCTCCTGCACCGAAAAAACTCCTCAATTCAATTTTTTGCAATTGCAAAACGGGGTGTAATGCTAAATGCGGCTGTAAAAAAGTTGGGTTGTTTTGTTCATTAGCATGTATCAGTTGTCGAGGCCAATCGTGCTCCAATGTTCAATCACCAGTAGAAGAGGATTCTTACGATATATGCGAGGAGACATCTGATGCATCGCTCTTTGAACAATTTATTTGTACCCAGCAGGAAGAAGAAGAAGAACAAGACAGTATGGATTATGTTCCATTAGAAGAGTATCAATCAGACAAATAATTTTCTACAATTTAATACAATAGCTTTTAACTCAACAGAACCACAATAGATCGTGGAGTAGGCTTACTGGGGAAACCACGTGAAAAAAAACGCGCCATGTACACTACCTCACGGGTGGCGCGGAAACGTGTGCATATTATGAGTAACACAACTTTTTCAACATTTTGCATCGCTATATCTCCGAAATGGTGATTCTTAGGAAAAAAAGTGTATAACCAATTTTTACAGATAATTGCATGATGAATAATTTTTGTCTCACCTATTTTCATAATAAAACTTACCGTTTAGCTGGAAAACTCAAAAAACCGATTTTTGCAACGTTTGACCTTGATTAAATTTTTTTGCACACGTTGGATTGATGTGGATAATTGACAAATTGTGTGTACTAGGGCCCCCAACATTCATGCCAATTTTTAGCTGGGTGCGAATTAATGTAACCTTGAATGTCTATTTTGACCGGACTAATAGGTAAGTATTAAAACATCAGAATAATTAACGAAAAAAAATTAAAATTTATATGGCTTACGCTGGCTAATAACTTTTATATCTATTTAAAACGTACCTAGCGACGAACCCGAGCGAAGCGAGGGTGAGCCGCTAGTACAATAATAAAAGGGACAATATATTTTGACCGGGGTGCCTATTCAAATGTGCCCGCTAGTATGTTTAATTGACTAAATAATAGTTGACTTTTTGAAATAAAAACGATGCATTTCTTATTACAATGAATTATACTCCACTTCACAGAACTATACGTGGAGATCTTGAAAAATGATAGCTGCCGTTGCGCATTTGGCTGCAGCCTCTTCGCAGCCAGGTGTGAGCGGGTCATATTTTGGGACGTTTATACGTTCATCGCGTATGTTCATCGTTTATATATCAAAGTAAAGCTAATTTTTTTCTGTACCTGATAAACTACGTCTGCCTATGTAAAAGTGGCCGCAAAAGTGGTTCCGAGTCGTTAAAAATGTTTTTATTACGTTCATGGCGTGTATTGATCATTTATATATCAAATTAAAGCAAATTTTTTTCAATGCATGATAAAATATATAAAAGTGTAACTATTTAAAAGTGGCCGCAATGGAAAGAAAAGAAGGAAAGAATATTGTGTATTATATATGTCATTTGTCAGACAATAACACTCGCGACATCTGGCGAGAGAAAAAGGCAAAATTCTTCCCCACTGGAATTCTAAAATTTTTCGTAGAAAGTGTGTCACTGTCAAATGTCAATAACTTTGAAAAGAAATTGAAGTGTCAAAATTCTTTTATTCAGTTCAACATGGCGCTCAATCTTGTTGTTAAAGTTCATCCTGTTGTTTTATTCCAAATAGTTGATGCTTACGAGCGTCGAAATGCCGATTCACATCGTGTTATCGGCACTTTACTTGGTAAATAACGTACAGTTTTATTAGCGTTTGAAAAATATCAATTTTCTATGCCGACGTCATGAGGGATGTTAACCTATATTCAAATTTATAGTTGTTTTGTTTCTCAATTTGCTTTCATAAAGTTTATAATCTTATTCAATTCTTGTTACGTAAAAAATCATATAGTGGTTATTTCACTATAGTTTTATGTAATATTGTTACCATTCGAGGTTATGATGTATTGGTAATATTCAGGAACCTCCGACAAAGGGGTAGTAGAAGTAACAAATTGCTTCTGCGTCCCACATAAAGAACATGCTGATCAAGTAGAGGCTGAATTAAATTATGCCATGGATGTTTATGAACTTAATCGAAGGGTTAATGCTTCTGAAAACATTGTGGGTAAGTTATAATTTGTTTCAATAACATAAAAGTCTTAATATTTTGTTTTTGAATGTCATAAGTTTTTTTCAATTTACAAATTATATCCATCCAAAATAATAACAGAAAACAAACATATACTTATAAGTATTCTAATTGAATATTTGTGCAACTTGTATGAGTGCTTGAAAGTAGAAGTCAAACCTAATTTTTGTCATATCTATATTATGTGTTTTCTTAAATATTTAAACCTATGTGTCTCAGAGTCATGCATAATATTTTCATATATTTCTTTTTATTTTGTAGCTACACATTTTATTTATATCTGTTTTAATTTTATTGTTAGTAAGTTTACTCTGCTATATTTATGTATAAGTGGAAACTTTATTAGCTTAATGTATTATTTCTGATGTGTCTTGCATTTTATGCTTATATATGCTGTCTGTTTTCCAATTTACAAAATAAATAAAATATAATAATCAACAGAAACAAATATTAATTAGGTACTTAAAATTCATTCATATTATCAGTTGCATTTGTTTCTATAAGTTTTAACTACTTACAATTAAATTACATTCTGTTAATTTTAAACAAAAATATTTTTGCAAAGTATCCACAATTATTTATTTATTTTTTGTTTTATTATATAATATGAGACATTGCATATATTTCCATACATTCTATGACTAAAGTGTTTAATAAGCTGATTTGATTTAATTTAATATATCCATGTTTATGTCGATTGATTTTAAGTGAATTAAGTTAATTTTCATTCAAATAAACATAAAAAGAAAAATTTTATATAGGCAAAGATATTTTTATTGTGGTTTATTAAGTCTGTAGAAAATATAACTAATATAATTATTTTGTTTCCTCGGTTTCTTTATGTTTGGTTATTTTAATAATTAATTTAATTTTGGGATTATTCACTTTTGATAAAAATTGATATTAATTTTTATAGAATCCCACTTAAAAATAATAAGTATAACTTTACAGAAGACCATATAAATGATAGGATATATCACATGAGTAAGTATTACTTTCATTGAAATTGTCAAAAATTGTTTAAAAATAGGTTGGTGGGCCACCGGCAATGAAGTCACAAACCACTCATCTGTGATCCACGAGTATTATTCACGGGAATGCCGTGAGCCAGTCCATGTAACGCTGGACACGTCACTCGCTGGTGCTCGTATGGGACTGCGCGCATACGTTTGTGTCGCGTTGGGAGTACCGCGCGGCAAGCAAGGCTGCATGTTTACACCCATTGATGTTGGACTCACATATTATGAACCTGAGGTAAATTTTGTTTTCAATGTGTTTATATACTGGTTTAAAAACTATGTGTCAGCCAAGTGTGGAAAAGTAAAGGGAACTAACATGCTTATATGAACCATTATAAGCTACTTTCCTCCAATATGAGCTCAAAAATTATAAGATTACATATTAACAAAAAAACACAAGTTTTGTAGTAAATGAATTGAAAAACTCTGTTCATATTTATAATTGTGATTAAAGGAAGTGATAAAGCACCTGTTTAATGTATTTATATTTTAATTGAGTTTAAAAGTGTAGGCTATAATGTTTAACTGCATTGTTAGTCTAGTAGCTAATATATTATCTCGTCCTGCAACCTGATTTGAGTAAAAAAATTTTTTTTATTGATTGTCTACATGGTGTTGAGTGACTAATTACTGTTTAGAGTTTATTTTTCCTCACTTCTACATGTCATAGTACTAACGTTAGTGTTTCTATACCATTACAGATAGTAGGTTTACAATTATGCCAGAAGACGATGGGTCCAGGAGGGCGCTCACGCCAGGTGCAGCCCATGGTCGACTTGGCGCAGGTAGCCGAAGCCGCGTCCAAGTTATCTGGCTTATTAGACCAGGTATGTTTAATTATATTCAAGTGATATATGTATATAAGAGTAAACACGGGTTACAGAGTGAGTTTTATCAATAATACTGGTTTCGATTTTCCATTTAATATTTTCAACATTAGAATGAATTTTTTATTTAAGCTAAATATAATCTATACATATAATAAAATTCTAAGTCGAATCTGTATATTAATATTTTTGGGAAAATCTTATTGAAATCGACATTATTATCAATGCAGAGGCTGAATCTATAGTTTTTAGAATTTTTGTCTGTCTGTCTGTCTGTTACCGCATCACGGAAAAACCACTGGAGGGATTTTGATGAAATTTGGTATGGTGATTGTTGGTTATCCGGGTCAACATATAGGATACTTTTTACTGCGGGAAAATGTCTCATTTCTGAGAAAATATACAAAAACTGCAATGTAAGAGTATACTAATATGTAAAACCTAAGAATTTGGTTTTTAGTCACCTGAACGCGGGCGGAGCCGCGGGCAATTCTAGTATAATAATAAATTTTATGAAACTGTTTGTGAGGTTCTATGCTAAAAACAGTTTCAGTCATACAAGCAATGCAGGGCCAGGAATAAGACCTGGAGTAACACAGTTATAGTTACGCGCCTTTTTTTTTCTTTTTTTTTGCCGTTGTGAAATGCATTTAGGCATACCACCAGCATACAAAATTCAGGTGGTTATGTGGGACTCATGGTTGAGCGACAGTAAGTCGTTACTTTGCTTTGTAATTCCCTTTATATTCTATTTTAATAGAAAATCAAACACCACGTTTCATTCCATATTATTAACTAACTAGAAAGTATGTGTACAACTATTGTACATTCTATAATAACTATAACTCCAGGTGGTGCAGTACGTGGAGGAGGTGCTAGCGGAGCGCGCTGCGCCCAACAATGAGGTGGGACGGCAGCTGCTCGAGCTGGTCAGCTCGCTGCCCGACCTCGCCTCCAACTCCTTCGTGGATGCCTTCGCTTCCAGCGTTAAGGATCTGCTTATGGTAAGACTTCAGTCTTTTTTTATTTAACATTTTCTTTTCTAAAATATTGAATACATACTATATACTGTATTTAACCCTTTTTAACGTCCCGTTGTTTAGCACTGGCCTCCTTTCAGATAAGGATGAGACAACAGTCCGCCATGTTATCCACGTGTGGGTTGGCGGGCATCATGTCTTTCGAAAATTGGCTAGGTTTTCTTAAATATACAGGTTTTACGATGTTTTTGTTCATTGTAAGACAAGTGGTAATCATGTTGAAAATGATTAGCACATGAGTATATCAGAGATTTGAACAATTACCTGGTTTCTTAAAGGAGTGTGTTACCTCTACTATTACAGCCTTCATTCCGTTGTAAACAATATTTCGAATAAACATCTTTTCAGATTTTTTGTGGGGTTTGTTTTGATGAAGTACCTAACATATTTACAAAAAGACTAAAGTTTTATGTTAAAGTTTACAACAACCTGTCTACTGATAAAAAATAATTTTATTTAAAATTTCAAATATTCACTTAAATCTAAGAAAGTTTTACATTGCATTAGTATTGAGTACTGTCAATATGCCAGCTTAAGTGAATGAACTTGTGCCGAATATGGACTATTAATCAATATTATTTTCAGTATTCTCTATTTGTAAATAAACAAACAACTTGCTGTTTTACTTTGGTTGTTTAAAGTGTAGCTTGATGGATTGCTTAGTAAAAGTATGAGTTACTTATCCATACTAATATTATAAATGTGAAAGTGTGTTTGTTTGTCCTTCTTTCACGTGGAAACGGAATGACGGATTGGCGTGATTTTTTGTGTGGATATAGTTGGAGGGCTGGAGAGTGACATTGGCTACTTTTTACCACGGGAGATTATCTCATTCCCACGGGAAAACACGTTATAATACAACCCAAAAAATATTTATGATCCGAATTACTTGAAACTTGGTATTATTGCTCTTCAAGATAATTAAATAAATACGTGGTTTAACATTTTTTGAAGTTCATCCCATAATAGGGTAAAATAGGGGATGAAAGTTTGTATGAAACCTAAATATACCATTTTAGAGTTTATTTGTAGTTTTAGCGCGAGCCGCGGGTTCTGCTAGTTTAATTATAATTGTTTTGCTTTTCAGGTGGTGACACTCGCACAGCTAATCAAAACCCAACTGCAGTTAAATGAAAAGCTCACGCTCCTCACATCGCAGTAAGGACATTTCTGAAGAGTATTATAAGCAATTAATAACATCTATTAAATTGAAATTTTGTACGCATTTGTTTCTTTTTTATATAATATTATATTAAAAGACACAATAATATCAGGTGATTAAATGAGAATTTTAAACAGTATTTAAGTTGTATTATTATATCTTGATGACCGAACATCGATCGGCGTTTCTTCATAAAAGATGGTGACGTTGTGGCGAAACACTAAAATAGTTTTTATATGTTTCGTTTCGAAAAGAAGAAAAAGTTAAGTTGACATTCGTTATGTAAAATTAGATATTACATTTTGGACTCATTATTAAACTTATGTAAATATCTGTATTGGCGTAAGTTTTAATTTCTTCCATACCAAAACGTTTCTGATAAAACTTAATTTTTATAACCGAGTTTTTTCAGAAAAGACACAAACTTTAAAGGAAAACCTTATATAAATGCAAAATTTGATCCAAATCGTTAAAGCCGTTTTTAAAATGATACACAAATGTATATATATTTGACGACACGTTTGGCTCAGTTTGTAGTGATCCTACTTGCTGTGCCCAGCAGTCGCGGCTTCGAGTCCGGCTGGGGGCAGAATACATTTTTGTGATGATCACGAATCATTCATGGGTGTTTATATTTATAATGTGTATGTATGTATGTATTTAAAGTTACATATGTGTAGTGTATCAATTTGCTGATATCCAAAGACTCATAGCTATTAACAATTTTCAAAGAAACAAGCATACATTTTTGATGTTATACTTCTTTTGGGACGTTTGGAAAAAAAATATGAGTAAAATTTTAACGATACGCGCGCACACCGACAACCAAAAAACCGACATGATGAAGTTAACTGTATTCCTTTTACAGAGTTGTGACATACGTGATGAAATCTTTAGCTATTTTTGTTTTGTTACGCCAAAGAAGTATAACTTCTTACGTGCGTACATAAATAAGTACACACACGTTTCTTTTTTTACTTTCAAGCGTGAACAATTTAGTGTGAAATTAAGTGTGAACATATTATATCTGAATATTTTATTACTACCACAATCGTACATTTATATAAGGCACAGTACATCGATCAAAAAAGTACTCCATACACAATCCTATGCAAAAGTTCTCTTACAACTGTCACCAATTGTGTAACAATGTAAATTGAACCTTAAACGCAACGCTTAAAGTTGTTTTTACGAAAAAAAAGTTAAAAGCGAGCTTAAATGTTCAAATGAGCGCTCATTCGGCGAGGACATTTTTTGTCGCTGATTGTGTATCTTATACGTTTTTGATGAATGACACAGTATTTATCACAAACAACACAAAATCACTTCATATGATTTGATAATAATAATTATTATTATCTATAATCTTCAGGCTATTTCAGGTATACTTATTTTGTCCAAATACTATTTATAAATGAAATATAAAAAAAGGGTGCGTGTAACCATTACGCGCAGTTGAAGTAAAACTTGTTTGGCAAATATCGCAATTAAAATAAAACAAATCAATAATTAAATAAGGCATATTACGCATGCATATATTTATAAAATATCATATACGGAAAGAATATAATATTATATATTTGTCAGATAATAACAACGGTTACCATGACAACATGGCAATGTATTCTATCTCATTCTCTCACCGGTTTCATCCTATATATTTATGTGTTTGTCTCTTTCTCTTGTCGCATTTCCGTTTCATTGAGTTTCAAATTACAACGATTCTAAAGTATCACTTCAAAAAGTGTGTGTTGTGTCAAGTTATCTCGATAAAAAATCTCAAAAAACTCTATGACAGTTAAAATAGGAACACAAAATCAACAAAAAATTATATTAAAAATCATTGCACTTAATATTCTTCACTTACATACATTGTTATCAAATTGTAAGACGTCTGTGCATCGTCACACTTGATTATATCATAAATATTTAAACGAGCTATTCTTGTATATATATATATATATATATATATATATATATATATATATATATATATATATATATAATCTGAATCTCGGAAACGGCTCCAACGATTTTCATGAGATTTAGCATACAGGGGGTTTCGGGGGCGATAAATCGATCTAAATTAGTCTTATATCTGGAAAAACGCGAATTTTCGAATTTTCATGCAATTTTCTTTTGCATTTTCACAATTTTTGCATTGTCACTTCTGGTGAGTGGGCGGCGCCACTGTGCAACTGTCAACATCGTGTCCGTATTTACATCAAGTTTAAATATATTTAAGTGAAAATAATTTAAAGAAAAATGGTAAATTTTTAAATAAAACCTATGGGCAATATGTAAACATCACCAAGTCTTGATGTGTTGAAGAACAAATGAGCTTTTAAAACTTCACCTACCAAACAAATACAAAAGTGACAAACATAACTTAAAGATACTATCAGTGCAAAACCATCTTTTCTGTGTGTGTGATGACAATAAAACAAAATAATTTGTGAAGTGAAAGCGTCAAATATTAAAACATAAGTTTATAAACTGAAAAACTAATAGGTACTCTGTATAAAATTGCAATTCAACTAGGTATAATTGGTGCTCTTTTTCAATCAGCTTTTCTACTTCCAACTTCACACTTAAGATGGAGGACATAAAAAAGTTGCTAATAAACATGCAACAAGAAATAAGACAGCAGAAAACAGAAATGTTAGAAATGAAAGAAGACATTAAAAATACAATCAACAATAATATACTTAAATGAGAAATTAAAACAGTTAGAAATAAAAATTGAAGTTCTTGAGAAAAAAATCCAGGAACAAAGTACCTCAATAAATAATTTAGAAAGACATATTAGGCGCAAGAACTTGGTTATGTTCAGAGTAGAAGAAGGTGAAAAAATCCTATCATGAACTAGAGGAAAAAATAGTCTTAAACTAAACGGAAATAAAAAAGAAGTCTGCCTGTATCTCCAGAAACGCCTTACCTCAATTATAAACAAAAACTATTCATATCATATCTTTATCCACCAGTACCGCCGGTCACTGTGGGGGAGTTCGACTGTAACCCTCCAAAGAAAAACAGACATACAATGAACAAAGGTATACATATCTTCACCAAAAAAACTTCTAGAATTAAAAGCAGCGTTTCCTACAACAAATCAAAAGAACACAAAGATAAAATTATAAACTTTATAGGCATATCAGAAACAAATTATATATTGAAAACAAAATTTGAAAAGAAGCCCTTTGCAATCATACAAGCATAATCTCCAACGGAGAGCTCTATGCAGGACTACTTTGGAGGAGGCTTTTAACCGAGAGGGGTCTATACATGAAAAAGACATTTACAAATAAATACATTTAATTATGAAATTAAATACCTAATTTATAACTATTGTCAGAATTAATGTATGGAAAGAAATTTTATTTATATTTATTATTGTGAAATGTTTAGTATTTAGTCAATTGAATTATTTAATTTATTGTGATTGTTTATTTATTTATTTGTTAATGATAATTTATATATATACAATATCATTTCAAATAATATGAAGATTTTTAAAATAATTTAATTCCAGATTACAAAATTATTAGTTAAAAAATTATAAGTTAATAAATAGTCACTAAATTATATAATTTTATATTTCAGCAATGTGATATAGACATTTTTTTTATTGTACAACTAAAATGGCTCCTTATATACTCTTAACCAAATAAAATTTTAATGGAATACTTTTATAAAAAGCTGTGCATACTTTTAAATTAAATTTATATACAGATAGGTAAAATTATAATGTTAAATAAATGTTTTTATGTAAATTTAGTTAGTAAGCCTTTATATAAATAAATGAATAAATAAATAGAGCTTTATTATTATTATGATTTCTTTGGCATTATTTCAATAAATTAATAATTAATAATTCCACGAAACATATTATGTTTGATAATTTCGCACGCTCAGATATAAGCATCATAGTCAAGCGGCCAATGCGCAAGTTTGACAACCACAGGTATCTGGGTTCGTATCCCAGTCGGACATAAAGTTTATAATTTTTTTTTGTATTTATTCAAATTCTTAGTTTGTTTTTTTAATGTTTTATTTTTTGGCCAAAAACTCCGAGCAAAGCTCGGTCGCCCAGGTACTATATATTATATATAAACTTTGAAAATTCTTTTACTAATACTGTTAATAAAAACTTTTTAACAAAAAAATAAAAACCAACTTCCAACAAAAGCACTAAAAAGTAAAAAATAACTGATTGATAGTTTTCATTTACTATACATACCTAATCAAATATTTTTATTTTCGAAGTCGGTGTGCTTTGCTTTGTATGGGCTGGCACCGATTTCGAAAATATTTGATTAGGTATGTATTTAATAGGTAGGCTTTAATTACTTAGCCAAAGCACACCGACTTCGAAAATATTTGATTAGGTATGTATAGTAAATGAAAACTACCAATCAGTTATTTTTTACTTTTTAGTGCTTTTGTTTGAAGTCGGTTTTTATTTTTTTGTTAAAGTTTTTATTTTTCCCTTTTTAGTGTAGACAGTAGTAGTAAAGTAAGGATTCTAACGTGTTAGGCTTGTCAAATCAAACAAAATAAGCCCAAACTCAAAGTATCTGTTATTAGCCGTTGAAGAGTTCCACCTATCCACCTTCTGGCCTTGTCATCGGATCAGGTCAACAATACCGAACCACTATACTATCAACGGAAATAGAAATACTTGCAAAGTTTCAAGTCAATATGACAATTAGAAGTAGGTTAAATTCATCATTAGTTGTTTTTCCACCCTTAGAGGTGGTATATTTTTTTGAAATTTAAATGGGACCAATCTGGAAGTATACCCTTTCAAACAAAACAATAATTGTCCAAATCGGTTAATAAATGACGGAGTTCTGAGGTAACAAACATAAAAAAAAGCACAGTCGAATTGAGAATCTCCTCCTTTTTGAAGTCGGTTGAAAATTATAACTATATTTATTAATTTAATTGAAGTCATTAGAAAACGTCCGTTGAGATACTTTGTCGGCTATTGTCAAGCACTTGTTTGAGAGAAGCAAGGGTAAGTATAGTATAATATAATATGTACATAATATATTTAAATATAACGTACTTGTTTATAAAAATATATATTTAATACCTCATTTATTTAAATAGGGCTGGTCGTAAAAAATATAAATTCAATGATAACAATATCAGACATTTATTTACACAATACAACAACCATACACAATACAGCCAACCATTGGGTCTAATACCAAATCAAAATCCAAAGTTTTAGTATGAAATAGATACCCAACGAAACGTGACCTAAGGTTAGGTCTTAACTTCAAAGGGCTGAGTGTCGACACGTGCGCGGGCGCGGTGGCAGCGCCACACCCACTCCGGACGCAGCGCGCTGCCAATGCGGTAGTGCACCGCGTTTGAGTCTAGCAACGCGTCTTCCTGTTCATATAGAGACAGGACAGACAATTTTACAATCTAATAAAACTTTTGCTTAAAACTACATATACATGTACATATATACACACACACGCGCACACGCACACACACACACACAGTACATATGTACTTCCGTACTAATATTATGAATGCGAAAGTAATTGTCTGTTTTCACGTTTAATCCGCTAAACCGATTTAGATGAAATTTGGTATGAACTATGGAGATAGTTTGAGGCCTTAGTATTATTTGCCTCAACATTGTTTTTTCCGCGATTTATTTATCAGGTATACACAATAAGCTATCACGAGAAAGACATACCCGTTGTACGAGGCCGCCATATGCTCGTATATAGCGCTCTATAAGGGCGCGGTCGTAGCCACCTTCCAACACTTCGTCGATGAGGAACGTGTAGCCATCGAAGAAATTGGGCAATTCCTGAAAAACATACATTATTGACAAGTCATGTTCAGGTCTTTTTAACGTCCCACTGCTGGGTACGGGACTCCCTTCAATATAAGGAGGATCGCGCCATAATTCACTACTTCATTGTTACGGTTTGCGAGTTAGTTTTTTAAAAAAAAATGAATAAAATTTTTATTTTTAAATTTTCTCAAAATTCACTTAAAGTGTTTGAGAAAACAAGATACATCTTAATAGTAAATATAAGCACACAGCGTGCATAATATTATTGACCATGAATTGTTCATATCCAAAATTAAGACATGTTGACGCGAATTATTTTAAAATTTAATATTTTGATAAGAAATGACTTGTTTGTAATTTTACTGCATAGTAAAGAAAAATAATGAAATAATTTTATTTTCTTAAAAGTTTTGCTTTTTAATAAATATATAATAATCTTTTTTAATTTTATATATAACGAAAACTTTACGTATTTATTTTATGTATTTATTATAAAATTTTTGTGTTAGTAATTAGACATAAAGATTCAAAATCTGAAAATGCAGTAAGCATATTATACAGGCTCAGGCGAATAATATTAACTCCATATCATCTTTCTAATTTCATTCATCCCTCATAAGCCATTAGATTATAAAACCAAAGCAGTTAATAATTTTATATTTAATTGTCAAAACAATAATAAAGCAACTACAAAACGTATCCTAAAAAAATATAACCAAAGCGTTAAAACAATTTCCCATCAACCTTATCTTCTATCATATCCTCATCTATTTCTGTCGTGTCTTCTTCAGTATCTGAATCGCTTTCAAATATAGTTATATTTGCTTTTATGCGTTCATCTTTCACAAACGCAATGTCTGAATCTCGGGATACATTCGCATCATCAGTTGTATCTTCGGATTGCTCTTTGTTATCTTGAGATCTGTTATCTCGGTCAGGATTTGTTGCGGATGTGTTGGCAATGTCTGGTGTTATATCTATGGTGTCAGGAGTGTCGGGAGAGGGGGATTTGAGGCGTTTTTTCTTTTGCTGTTTCAGTACTTTTTCAATTTCATCGTCAGTGTCCACTTCTGAAAAAAAATGATGAGGGTATTTTTATCATTGTTAAACCTGTCAATAAAAGGAAATGTGTAATCTTTTTTAAACTATTTCAAGCGTTATATTCAATGCTTTTAAACGTCCCACTGCCACTTTCAATACGAGGGGGATCAGGCTATAGTCTACCAAGCTGAACAAGTGCGAGTTGGCGGACGGCACATTATTTTCCAAAACTTTCTAAGTACCAAACAAATGATAATCATGGCCGAAATGATTCACGCATGAAAATATCAGTAATTCGACAACCGGCATTTGAACTTGCTTCACTCGGTTTCCCAAACGCGTGCGTAACAACTGAGCTACCACTTCCTTCCTCACTCAACTTTATAATAATAAATATTATTATTATTATGATTTATGATACTCAAATTTTTATGACCTAATTTATGATCCAAGGGCAAACAGGAACTTCGTTCGGGGTGACCCACGACACCTTCCGTCTTATTGAAGTAAAACTTCTTTACGCACGCTTGACTTGGGGGGTAAGTTAGTGAATGCGTGACGAAAAGTGTAAATCGGGCGAGGCGAACGCTTGTTGCCATGGTAACCGTTGTTATTGTCTGACAAATGATATATAATATTATATTCTTTCCTCGAATGATATTCTATAAATATATTATTGTAATATGCGTTATTTTTAGTATCTCATCTATCCTATAATATCATCATATAATAATTATTTAAAACATAAATTGAATTTCATAAAGAGTATCGATAACCTACAGAACGCACTACTAGCACTCTTTAAATTTTTATTTATGTTTTCATACAAATTATCGCATTTACAATATCTAAGCACACCAGCCACTTACCCTGTTCTTCCTCACACACCTTGTCCCAATCAGCGGGCGCGTCCACACGCAAGTGGTGCTCTGTAGCGTACCACTGCCACGGCAGGCGGCGGTGCGCGCGCGCGCACGCCTCCACCCACTCGCCCGTCACCGCCACCGTGGCACTGCGCGATGCACGCACCGCGCGCAGCTTGGGCGTGTTGGGGAACGCACAGCTGGGGAGTGGGGGTTGGCATATTGGGTTAGGTCCTATTGGCCTAAATGAGTATATTGGTAATCTACTCGAACTTATTAAAGGGTAAGGATTTTATGAATGACTTCAAAAGGTGCCAGTTGATATCAATTAATCCCTCCACGACCGCGGATACGCCAGCGTTTCAGTTAACAACAGATTTCTTAGAAATTTAATTAATTTCTTAGAAATTTACCTGGAGGTGTTATATAATAATAATAATAAATAATAAATGTTGAGACATTAACACACAGCGCCATCTAGTTCCGTGGTAAGCTACGAAGCTTGTGTTATGGATACCAGATAGTTAATACACTGCACATATATAACTTTATACATATTATAAATAAAGGTTTTAATAGTGTTTACTAGGTGCAGGTATTTGGGGTTGAGTACTGATAGTAGTCTGGACCATAGGAGCAGCCCCTTGGTGGTTGTGATTTGCCTTGGCAGGCGAATCGTCATGGTTGAGTGTTTTTTGGTTTTGTGGGACTAGTACAGGCTATTACTGACTTTTTTGGCAGGCGAGTCCCACATAACCACCTGTTTGTACGCAAGTCGCATGCGTAAATGCATTTTCTAACGTTAAAAAATAAGGTCCAATTGACCTTGATGGAGAATATTTGCGATCTACTTTAAGTCTTATTTGACTTTGACAGTGTCACTGGGTACAGCTAGCTACTCATTCATTTCGTTCATTCATTAACAAAAATAACGAAATCATTTCATTATTTGCAAAGATACACACCTAATACACAAACACACACACATACCACCATATTCCAGTAGTCGGTCAAATGATACTCACATAAGATGCGTACAAGACGGCTGCCAGTCCTGCAGGTACCGGGCGCCCAGCGCGGCGGCGGCGGTGCGCAGCGCGGCGCGGCGCGGGTTTGCGTACCCGCTGAGTGCGAACACTACGCCCTTTAGCACGTCACCCGGTGACGTACATATAGGTCCTGGTACCAAGGTGGTTGCATCTGGTGATGGTACATGGAGTTATTTATACCACAGATTATACGATATAATATGTTATCCCATCAAAAAGATAAATGTGAAAATGGGAGCCAAGTTCAATATTAAGATATGCGTTGTTGTCAACTTCACCGACAAAAGAATTGAGATCTAAATGGATGCCAAGTTCTATAGATAATACTGTTTTTTTTTTCATAAGAACACAAATTGTAAAATAAATTTAAAACACAATTTCTTGTTTTTTTTTTTGTTTTTCTTCTAAGTACCTTTTATAATTTAATATGCATTTAGTAAAAATTTCTTATTTTGACATTACAAACAGACACTTCAGTTTTGTTTATCTATAATATAGATTATATATAAATATTATATTTATTTTTTATAAAACAAATAAAATTCATGTATTGTAATCAAGTCGCAAAAAGAATGTGTTTACTACATATTATAAATGCAAGTCATCATCAAGCATCCGAAATAAGCTAGGATAAGTCATTAGTGAAACCAACTAACGGATTTTTATCAAAAAAATGTACTACAAAGATATATAAAAATAAAATATGAATATAAAAAAAAGTTGAAAACACACTAACTATCTTCAGATCTCTTTCTTTTCTTCTGACTGGCACTAGAAGAATCATCAAAAGAACTATTTTTCTTCTTGTCGGGAGTTTTTTTTCTTTCATCGAGTTTCTTATCTTTTACTAAACTTGTGTTGCTATTAGAAGAATCTTTTTTGTTATTTGTTTTACCATTATTATTGTCTTTTTTAGTGCTTTCTGTTTGTTTACTTTCTTTTTCCTTCTTGTCGTTATGTCTTTGTACGACATGGTCTATTTTGGCATGAGGCTTTTCATCATCATCGTTGTACAGAAGGCTATCTTTTCGTCGGTTAGAACATTCGTTGCTTACGCGATTTTGATCTTTATTAGTATTAGTTTTTGAAATTGGTGTTTTTAATAATTTCGTGGCAGTATCAGAAATATTTTTTAATGCTTGTGAGGAAGCCTGTCTTATTTGAGCATCTGAAATCAAAAAAATAATTTTGGATAAAAAAAATATTTCTAAAAAACTTACAATTCATTTATTCACTCATCGCAGTAGGAAATTTTGTATATTATATAAATAAAGTAAACAAGTATTTCTAAAAATTATTACCCTAAAGAAGAATACAAGGTTGTATATATTATGTATGGAAGTTCGCTATCTTTGACTACGACGAAGAAACTAGGTAAGATTTGAGAGAAGAGATTATTTTTTGAAATACCATAAGAAGTTTAAATAGAGCAAAAAAATCTTCTAATCGGTCACAAAACTAGCTAATTAATAATTTTGCTTTCAAATAAGCCGTAATGGTGAACAGGAAACAATTAATACTATAATTCCTATTGTAAATGAAAGGAAATATCAAAAAAGTTTTTATTTAAACTAAATCTGTATAGGGACTAACCTGTACTTGTACTATTTTGACTCTGTGATTGGGCAAAGAGCTCGCCTGGTCTGAACTCCTCTTCATCAGAAGAATACGTTTCCAACTGGAGCAGGCGGGAGGGGAGCGCGGGGGCGGGCGCGGGCGCCTTGTTTGCCTCTTCCGGCTCGAATATATGGATGAATGATAAGCCAAACTGGAATTTATATATATTTATATCATATACGGATGACATCATATGTATATTAAAAAACCGAAAAAATAGTTTAATTTAAAACGTTACGTTTTAACGTTAAGTATAAACTAAGAGATAAGATATTTTTCCACAGTCAAAATAATCAATATATTCCAAATTTCATCAAAATCTGTCCAGTGATTTTCTAGTGACGCGTTCACAGATAGACAGACAGACAAAAATTCTAAAAACTATAGATTCGGCCTCTGTATCGATAATAATGATTATTTCAATAAGATTTTCCAAAAAATATTTTATGTACAGATTCGACTCAGTTAGAATTTCAATATATGTATAAATGTTAAATATTCGCTTAATTCTAACATAGTATTTATTATACCTTGCAATGTTTATTATAAGGCTGTGAACACACGACGCGCACCCGGTCCCAGCGCCGCCGCGCCGCGTCGCTAGTTAGCTGAGTCCCGCTAAAGCTTCTTACTTTTTCTATACCATCTTCTCGACGCGACTCCACCGGGGTTAGCAACACGCTGTTTGGAACTAACACCTTTACACAGTGTTAATTATTGAAAACAATAAAAGATTTATTAATAAATATGTTATTGTGAAATTAAATCTATACTAATATTATAAAGATTAAAGATTTGATTTTTTGTTTGTTTGTTTGTTTGTACCGAATGGGCACCGAAACTACTGAACCGATTTAGATGAAATTTGGTAAGAAGATAGTTTGAGGACATAGGATAGTTTTTATCCAGGAAATCATCCCTGAAGGGGGTGAAAATGGGGATCAAAGTTTGTATGGGGAAGCAACCTAGGGACGAACCCGAGCAAAGCGAGGGAAAGTCGCTATTTAAAAAAGAAAACTATTAATTTTTAAAAGTAACATTATAAAATGTGAGTGTAACATTTCTCTGGATTCGTTTCATTGGTCTGTCACATTAACATCTCGTCACACTCGGGAAAACCATGAGTTATAGTTGAGCTTCTTGTATTTTGAAATAATTCTTGGTTTAAAAATATTGTATATATGTGATATATTATATTTTTTAAATTCGTTGAACAGTTTAAAATTAAAATTGAATGTTGCCTTAGTTGGATTAAAGTCTATATTTATTTATATAGAAAATCATTAATTTAGATGCTTAATTATTTTAATATATACTAATATTATAAAGAAGCAGAGTATGTTTGTTTGAATACACTAATCTCAGGAAATGTTTATTGAGGAAGGCTATAGACTATATATCATATAATATAGTCTACCTATTCCATACTAACTGTTAAAACGCACCTAGCGACAAATCCGAGTAAAGCAAAGGTGAGTCGCTAGTTATAATCTATACATATAATAAAATTGTAACTAAGTCAAATCTGTACATTAAATATTTTTTGGAAATTCTAATTGAAATAGACATTATTATCGATACAGAGTCAGAATCTATAGTTTTTAGAATTTTTGTCTGTCTGTCTGTCTGTTACCCCATCACGAGAAAACCACTGGACAGATTTTAATGAAATTTGGTATGATGATAGGTTCAACATATAGGATACTTTTTATCCGGGTCAACATATAGGATACTTTTTACCGCGGGAAAATATCTCATTCCTGAGAAAAAATACAAAAACTGCAATGTAAGAGTATACTAATATGTAAAACCTCAGAATTTGGTTTTTGATCATCTGAACGCGGGCAATGCTAGTAATAAATAAGTAATTTCAATATTGTAGCAGTTGCCATTATATTATTTTTTTTTAACCATATAAAACAATAATTTTGTTTTGAATTACCTGGAAAGGTTCATTAGGCTTCTCTGAGAGTCCAACCAATACTTCAATCAAAGCAGCGTGATGAGCCCCAATATTGATGGACTCGATCTAGAGTTATGTATTAATTACGAGTACAAGTACATAATATATTTTATTTACAATTTACAAATTATATTCTAAACATATTAATTAAACAATTATTTTTAAATCAAATATTATAATTTTTTCATACATTGAATTAAAGTACCTTCACTGCTTTAACCAACTGTAGTACGACTGAGCATGATAATTCTCCTTTGTTACATAGCCATTTTTTCTTGCTTATATCCCATGCCAGCAAGTTACTAGCTTGATTATCCTGTAAAAAATTAAAATAAATTATTTTTTGGATATAAGCAATTATTATTGCTTTTAAATGTTTAATAATTGTTCTATTACTATGCAAAATAAAGAAAATTTATATTTCTATATGAAAATGTAAGCTTATTAGTTCTAGCTAGTGACAAGCATATTTAGCCACAAGTCGAAAGTTTCATTTCCATTAGGTTTTCTATTAAGAAAATAAAGCAATCAGGAGTTCGAAAGGGTTTTGTAAGATGTTACAATCTCTTGTTTTTTCATCATTCTGAAAGGATTGTCTAATCTAATCTGTCTGTCTAATCTATGAAAGAAAGGGAATAAAGAGTGGTTTGTGTTTGTTGACATATGTTTAGTAAAACATATTTTAGTGCGAATGGTCAATGTGAACGAAATTTGGTAAGTAAGGCAGTAATTTCCTATTATATAATTTTTTTTCATGTCTGTCTAATTGTCTGTATAAATAATTATATAAATATTAAAATTACAATGCACTATTATATAAATGAATTCAGTAAATAATTGATAAAGTACATTTTTTGAAAACATGATTATTTATTATTATGTTATGAGTAAATACTGATTAATACCAACTCAATTTTAAGTTTAAATAAACACTTTGATTATGCTTTACTTTTCAAGCATTAAATAAAAGTAATGAGATTAGGTAAATTGTTCAGGTTACAGAGCCGCAACAAGTTGTTACTTGTTATAATAGAGAAATAAAAAACTTACGGGGTCCTCACTGCTGAAACTGACCACATAGTCTATTTTGACACGAGGCATCCTTTTACTTTACATTTAATAAATATTTAATACATATTCTTGTAGTAAATTATTTCTGATTTCAAAATAAACAAAACGTTTCTGATTTAGCGACTTCTGACATTTACGATTTAATTGACATTGACATTTGACATTGAACAATATTACCTACTATCTATTTTGGTTGCTGCCAAATGTTACCAAATAATAATATTTTTGCAAAATTGAATATTTAATAACAATATAACGTAACTTCTCAAATAGGTAAACATTACATATGATGTTTGAAATATATGTTGTTGATTCAAGTAAGCAAAAATAGCCCTAAGAATATTCTGAATTAGCGCTGTCCAATTTTTTTAACCGACTTAAAAAAGGAAGTTTTAACCGACTTAAAAAAAGGAGGCTATCAGTTCGATACGTATGTATGTAATATTATTGGAACTGTAAAATATTCACGTATGATAACCTATTAGAGCTTCCAAATAAATATATAAATGTTATAGGTGTATGTATGATTGAATGTATGTTTGTCCACGTATTTCTCCGAAACTAGTTATTACATCGTGATCATTCTTTTTATATTTGCTTACATTTATTTCAACTGAACGGATTTCATAAAAATCGATTTAGTCGTTTTTATGATATGGACCAAAAGGTGTAATTAAAACTGAATTAGTTTTTGTAATTTCTACTTGTTACAGATATTATTTCAGTTTTTAACCGACTTCCAAAAAGGAAGAGGTTCTCAATTTGTCGGAATCTTTTTTTTATGTATGTTCACCGATTACTCGTAGACGCCTGAACCGTTTTAGAATATTTTTTTGTTTCAAAGGGTATACTTCCCACCTGGGAAATAAAATTCCCATATAAATTTTATCGAAATCGGTTGAGCGGTTTTTAAAAAAAATCAACAATAAATATTTTTTTAAAATAAATTGTTTAATCGAATATTTTATTAAAACTTTCTTCTTACAAATTACCTGCTTATTACATCTGTACACTAAAAATGGAAAAATAAAAACGTTTTTAAAAAATAATGAAAACCGACTTCCAGGCACTAAAATTTAAAAAATAACTAAACAGGGGTTTTTATTTAGAATAGATATCTAATCAGATATTTTCGAACTCGGTGCCAGCCGACAATATTTTAAGATATGAATATCTAATATGTAAATATGTATTTTACGTATCGAAATATTAGTTTTGCTTTGCATCGGCCGACACCGACAGACGGACGGACGGACAGACAGACAGACAAAATTCTAAAAACTATATATTCGGCCTCTGTATCGATAATAATGTCTATTTCAATAAGATTTTCAAAAAAAAATTTAATGTACAGATTCGGCTTAGTTACAATTTATACAAGTATGTATAGATTTATAACGGCCAAGACTTTGTTAACAAAATATTACATATAACGGAACTACAATTTAACTTTAGCAAACGATATTATACTATAGCTTAAAAGCCAGAAAGGTAGCAAACTAGAATTTCAATAGATATTTTTGACATGTCATTACATAATAATATTTTACTCCTTTACGTATCAACTGCCGCGATAGTCTAGTGGTTTGAGCATGTACGGCTGAAGTTTCGGATGTCCTGGGTTCAAGTTACGTCGGTCCTAGATTTGTGAAGTTGGCGTTGTTTCACACTTTTGCTCGAAAGTTTGCCGAATCCCACCGGTTTTAAGAGTCAAAGGAAAAGATAGTGATAGTCTCAGAAAAATTGGCCGCAATGGCCGATAAGGAGGACATTAATATATTTTTTTATTGAATTATTTATCATTCTTTTATATTTTCTAAAAGTTAATAATATTTGTATATTGTGTTATCAATGTATCGGATAAGTATCATAATGAGAGTTGTTATAAAATACACAGTAAAGCGTGCTTTCAAACGATTTTTATAAAATATTCACTTCATGTTACGCTCGCTTGCTCCTTCCGAAGAACACGAACGATAGATATATCGATGAAAAAAAATTAACACTCACAAAACGGAATGTAACTACAATTTGATTAAGATGCATATTGCACATCCATTATTTTCACAAGTAATAAAACAAGACATTAAAAATTTGATATTTTTATTACAATTTATAGGACTACTGAGTATATTTACTTTGTGTTGAAATAAATAAAATTGACTAAAACTGATATAAAATTATTAACATCTTAATAATAATTAGTCAATAAGTACTATTGATGCAATATTAAATAAATAAAAGAGATCTTACTTTTTAGAAAACAATAATCATTATCTTTATGTTATTAACTTAACTACTTACCTCCCGTGTTAATAATATTATTATATAAATAATAATATATTACATTAATATTAAACACTAATATTTTCGACTCTATTTTATAAATAAACTATCTAAAAATTCGAAATATTAATGATAATTAACATATTTCTAAAAAATACGTTTAAATACATACCTATTTTGAAAGAAATTTAACGTCTTTTAGCCAAAAAAACTATCACATCACTCTATTTGTATTTACTCGTATATGGCCAAAATTCATAACCTATCTTTCGATTCGCCTACCAAAACTAAAGTATTTGATTAATAGCAGATCAACTAATACAAAGATGGGTTATTAATTTTAGCAGATAGAGTATTAATGAATAATTTTGTATTTATGAATCCTTATGATGACAGGTTCTTTTTCTTTTTGTGAGTTAGGTACTGGTGTGGGCGCGGGCTTACGATAAGTATAGCCACCGTTTCTATTAGGCCTTGCATACACTATCACTGGGGATGCTTCATTATTATATGATTCTCTTTTTGGATATTTTGGATGATCTTCGTAAATATGGTTGTAGGTGTACGGCTCAAAGTTCTGTTCAATGGTAGAAGGAAACGCGTGCAAGTCTCTGTTATTTTGTGGTCTTTTGGTCGGTTTTCTAAATTTTCCAGCATACGCTGATGGGGAGAACACCTGTAAAATTGGCACTGGCGCGTGTATCGGGAAAGCAGCTACAGCATACGGTTCATATTCTTCCATGAAGTCACTAGCGTATATGGGATACGCGTTCCTTCGACGCTGCATCATAACAGCTAGAGGCTCGAAAGCACTAACCCATGACAAGAATGTTAGTAGTAATGTTGGAATCTGCAATAAAAAATATTTTGTCTTTATTTGTCAGCAAGCGTAGAAGTGTTTCTTATAAAATAAAACCTTTTTATTGGTCTCTGTAGTAGGTAGGTATATAGTTAAGTTTATTATAGCAAATCTATTTAATATCGATCAAAGCGCATATTATCAACTTTTACAAGCATATCTAGTATGAATAAATTAATTATCGATTAATAATATTTTTGATCATCTTATTAAAGTGTTTAAAGTCTTTAAATTTACAAAACAAATACTTAACAAATTTATTTTTAGAATTATAAGACGAAAATACTCACTAAGTAATCCATTGTGAAGTATGGTGCTGCTACGTCGACGTCAGTTGCACTACTGTTCGCAGGCGACCTATTTCGACGGCCTGAATCCGTGAGCCACCGTCCACCTGAAACGATACTCACGCGAACATAATTCATAAAATTGTTAGATTCCGACTTCGGTTATTATAAAAGGAAGGAACCTTTCATTGATATGAACTATGCGATCACAAAAACAGCCAATTAATTATGCTTTAATCAACTTAATAATATACATTAATATTGTCGTTAATTATTATTGTTCTTATAGATGATTAATCATCAATCAACACTGTACGATGTACTCATTAAAGAGCTGTTTTATTTTCTTCAATTGCTAATGGACAAATTATAATTGATGAACGAGCTTTTTACAGACAAAACAATGGGATAAATGCTTCAAGTTATAAGGAAATATAAAGTAAGGGAAATAACTCAAACTTAAGTGTTAAAAGGAAAAGCGTTCGAGTAGAGTTTTATATTTTGTGGTATCTAGGTCAGCTTTCTACGTTCTCCAGGATACGCTGATAGAAAAAAGAACATGACATTGACGTTTATATTTAGTTGATTTAGAGTCATCATGGTAGTAAATTGTGCCTAAAGGCACTCCTAGAAGCCACAAACCTAAAGAATTGAATTGAATTGTCATCATGGTACACCCCAAAATGGAGTTGCACTCAAAAACGGTGCTTAGTTTATTTAAAGAGTAATAAGATTGAAACTTTTTATTGTATTTTAACTACTAATATGTCTAAAGAGCTTTTTTTATACATCAGAGTAGTTCAGGTAAGGTAGTTCAGGTAAATAAGCATACCTACACTGTGCGTGATAGTAAATAATAACTGTCATGTGCCAAGTATGCTATCAACTCCATGGGTATCCATTGGGAGTTACCAATTGAAATGAAGGGTTGGACAAAAGGGTAAGGAGGCGAAGGGGAAAGAGTGGTTGTTTCCTTGGCGCTCTCACTTATCGAAATTAATGTAAGAGTATGATTGATACATCCTATAGGTACCTACTATATCTTCAATGTTTATGTCCTCCAGAGTCGGTAAAAGTAATAGTGGATATTAAAATTGTGTTACTTTCATGTTTCTGAAAACCTATTAGAATATTATGTAAATATCGATGTTAACATATATTTCCCCACGAAATTTCCGCTGTGGCAGTTAACGACGTTGTATAAACGTCATTAGTCACGGATGAAGAGAGAGCTTGTCTATTTTTTTTCTGCATGCAAAGTCATATATTGCGAGTTATTTAAATTTAAAACTACATTAAAAGTCATTTGATTTTATACTACAGTACTTATTAACTATTTTGACATAGCTATTGATTATTATTTATCCACTTATCAGTGTCAGAGTGGGCGCTTAATTTTTCTTTGATTGAAAAAAAAACAATTAACTTTTTCATATATAATTATGTATTATGTATGTATGTACGTTTGTAGGTATTATTACGCCGATTACGCGTAGGTATACTTCTTACATAAAAATGTATGATTACAAAATCTATTCAATTTTAAAACAAAATATTTTATTCAGCATTAAATTATTACAATTTTTTACTGAACGTCATGAGTCCAGTTCGGAAAGAAGAAGCCTCAGACCTAAGAAGAATTGGCGAAAGAAACTCAGCGGGACTAATATTATTTCATTATCTTATATACATATAGTAAAATCGTAACTAAGCCGAAGCTATACATTAAATATTTTTGGAAAATCTTATTGAAATAAACATTATTATCGATACAGAACCCGAATCTATAGTTTTTAGAATTTTTGTCTGCCTTTCTGTCTGTTACCGCATCACAGAAAAACCCCTGGAGGGATTTTAATGAAATTTGGTATGGTGATAGCTAGTTATCCTGGTCAACATATAGGATACTTTTTACCGCGGGAAAATGTCTCATTTCTGAGAAAAAATACAAAAAGTACAATGTAAGAGTATACTAATAAGTAAAACCTAAGAATTTGGTTTGTGGTCACCTGAACGCAGGCGGAGCCGCAGGCAATGCTAGTTTTTTATAAAGTTAAATTATAAATTACAATATTTCTTAATTATATATTATAAGTCTGCTTAAAATAAGCTAAAAAATCTAGGTCATTGCCATTAGAACCATAAAATTTTGTCTAAAAATGTAGGTTACACAATATAATTATGATTATACAGTTTATTTCTATTAAGATGCGAGGTGAAGAGCGACTAGGGGGCAGCAAAAAGTGAGTACTGCCCGAGGTTGTGCAATGCGTGCTCACAGAATATTGCGTGTGGAACCTGAACCGAATGCATAATTTTTTGCAAATTTTTGTATAGTTCCTAGTCAGTGACAATTATATTATATTTGAAAAGAGTTTAGAATAAACAAATATTTCGAGTATAAAGTTCTATAAAGACCTTTTTTCAATTTTATAATATCTTCTTTAAATATTTATAGTGTTTTGCCGTAAATTTAATAAAACGAATGAATATACTAAAAAAAAAATATTTATTAAATCTAATTTTGGTTGTGGAAATCCTCGGTCGACATTATGTTAGCATCAGCTTGCAGTTGCTCGTTTTCTTATGTTCTGTATATTTCTTTACGTCTGTAGGAGGTAATAGAGGTATTGAGTTGGCTTTGCTGGAACTAACAGTGAGCGGTGGAGTGTCGACATTATCCTAAGGTAATTATATAACTCTTCACCACCATCCAGAGGAGAAATGTCCGAAATGAGGTTCTTCGACGATCTTAGACACCTTCACGATTTTGGGCACTGATACTACTTTAGGGACTGAGATGATTTTCTTAACTTCTACAACCTGTGAAAAAATATTTAATTATAGTAAAAAACATAACTTGGGTTTTGATTGTTGAAGACTTATGCAAATATATCTATGTTAATGATATCATATATTTAAGACTATATTTATCTGTGATAGTTGATTGACTTACTCTGGGAACTTCGACAACTTTGTTGACGGAGATAATTTTAGCAGCGGGGGCGTGGTATACGGGTTCCACAATGGCGCCATGGCTCAAGCCAAAGTCCAGAGAGCTATGGTCGAAGGAGCTGTGGCCAAAATCATAGCCGCTGCTGAAGCCTCCATGAAGGTAGCCACGCTTGTCACGCTTGCCTTCAGGCGCTGCCAGAGCAACTGCTGCGAAGAGGACGATGCACACCTGTAACGTAGGTTGATGTTACAGTTTGTTTGTATACTACTGTATATATCATACTACCTATTATAAAAAATGCATAAGTTATGTGTTTATATGTCTGTTATTCCTTCACGTTGAAATGGCTGGACCAATTTAGATGAAACTTAGAACGCAGGTAAACTGTGACATTGAGTAAATGTAGGTAATATTATAAATACAAAAGGTAACTAGGGACTCACATGAGCGAAGCAAGGGTAAGTCGCTAGTTAAAAATAATAGCTATTCATTAATGATTAATCTATACTAATATTATAATGAGGCAGAGTTTGTTTGTTTGTTTGTTTGTTTGTTTGTTTGTTTGTTTGTTTGTTTGAACGTACTAATCTTACTTCTAATTTGATTTGAAAAATTATTTTTGCATTAGATAGCCCGTTTATTGAGGAAGGCTATATATTATTCCAGAAAAATGTAGGGTTCCCGTGGAATAGATTTGTTTTTGTCTAAAGACGAACCCGAAGCGAAGCGAGGTCGAGTCGCTAGTTTATTTATATAAATTGATCATACATTAAGAAAATCGCGAATAAATATGTCGATAAGGGTATTAATAAAGGAAAAACCTTAACTGTTAGAGAATTAAGACCCTGTCAACAGTAAATAAATGGTTAAATAAAGCAGTGCCGAAACGACAACCACTAAATCAAGTTCTGCATAATAGAATTGCCGAAGCACTTCAGTATTCAGGAAGCCGTTAGTTGCTCTATTAGATTCCGCGTATATTTCACTACAATTTCTACGTTTTTCAATAAACATTTTATAATTTATTATGTATTCAATAAAATATAACAGAAAACAACACTAGTCATTAGTTTCTGTTAGAATTCATTAGAATGTAACTGTATATTAATACTGTCTTTTACATATTACTTTGAATGTACATACATAAATTATTAATAACTTATTTGCAAAATAAAAAAGAATTGGGGGCTTAAAAACCATACAAAATAAATTAAACCTGAGCCATATTTAATATAGAAGATTAAAAATTTTTTTAAGTTAACGAGTAGTAATCGTATCGTAAAAACGGTTATTGTTTGATTATACGAACATATGAAATATTCATTGCGTTGAATGAAAAATTGTCTTTAATTTTGACAAAATCTAAGTACTTACGAAGGCTTTCATTTTGATAGTTGGTTGTTTGTGGTGTATTGAGAGGGAACAGTGAACTGATGGTGTGTCTATACCGTATCTGAGTATATATAGGGGCGCGCGAGGTCGAGCGACGCCGGGTGCTTGCGCAAGCTACTCTTATTATAATTAATTATATGTTTTAAAGGCAACATTAGAAATTTGGTAAAGATTTATAGATTTTAATGTAAATAGATTTTATTAGTCATAAAAACAATAGTTGAATTATAATTCTTTATGTTTTCTTTGATAATGTAGTTTCTTTAATAATAAAAAACAGAGTTTGGCTTGTTTATAATAAAAGTTGCAATTCTTTGTAGAAAATAGGTCATATTTTTAATCTGGTATTTTACAATTGTTATCTAATATTAAACCCTTTTAAGTTTGGGTCATTCAGACATTCGATGCTAATAATGTATTTATTTATTTATGTAGCAGAAAACAAAAACATACAAGTCAAAACAGATACCATGTGTACAAAGGATGACTTAAGAGATCTCTACCAGAAACCCTCAAGCGTGAGAAAATATAAAAATAATAATGCGGTGCGGTGTAGGTACAAACTACAAACATCAATTATAATATAAATATACACATATACGGCTGATTCTACGATTTCGATCCAATTCGGTAAAAATGAGAGAAATTATTAGATTATCAAAATTTTGATATATTTCGAAAAGATGACTATAAACGACTAAGGAATAACTTTTTTTTTTAATTGCACCTATAAATAGCGAAGATATAGGCCTTTGGTTTTTATTTTTATTACGGTAATGATTTTTAGGGTAACGGTTATGACTACGTTGTGACGGTAATGACATAGTGACTACTAGTAATGACATTGCTTGCTATCCAATTTCGTTTAAATAAAACACCATATTTTCCTATTCCTTCATTTATTTTCGGTATATAATAATTAGCTCTACAGGTTAACATAATCATATTATGATATTGCCATAATAAACTCTCGTTAAAATAAAAATAAATTATAACATAACCTCTTTTTTGGAATCAGTTTTTAACAATCACACATTCAGCAACTTGTTTAACAGTTTTCAATCTGAAAAATTGAAACTTATTTATAACTTATTGAGTCTAGCAATTACCCTGTACTTAATTAAGGTTATTACTTTGACTGCTATTAAATCACAGTGTAATTAATCAAATCAGTTTTATTAAAGGACTTCTAACGTAACTATTATGGAATCAGTTTTTACTAATCATACATAAATCAACTGGTTTAACCTATTAAATCCACATAATTTTAATAATCTTGAGCTACAGTGGATCATTAGGAACATTACGGTCGATGTAGCTAGGGAGGATCTCGGTACCAGACCCATCAACAAATTATAACAATATAATAGTAATTAATCTGGAAAAATTAGACTTATTACTTATAATTAAGATTCTTGGTTAACTCGCAACGGCTTTCATACAAACAGTCAAGTCCGAAGTCTAGGAAATTAATAGACCGATTTAAATGAAACTGCTTACTCGTAAACTGGATACATAGGTACAAAGTTAATTGATAGTTTAACCTACGAAGTTGACAAAATTTACGAAAAAGAGTTTTAAGGCCGAAGTAGAGCTATTTTATTGTTTCTAAATTAATTAACTGAATTTTAAAATTATATTTTTAAATTAGATATTTTGAATATTTTCTTGACTAACTTTTTAGACTTATGTATCCTGATTAAGCGTGTCAAGTTTCATTTAAATCAGTGTATAAATTTCCAAGTATTTAGATTTGAATGTTTGTATGTAAAGCTGTTCTTCATAAACGCTTAAATTAAATTAAGTCAGTCTTACAATTACTAAAGGAACTAAGCGTTAAGTGTGGAATCAGCCTTTTTAAAATATTTTAAAATCATCATCGTCTTCATTTTCTTTGTTTTTTGTGCCATCCGTCTCTATTCTCATCTCTATTGAAGTCTTTGTTTTTATCTTTTGTTTCTTTGTCAGTGGTAATGCATAAAAATTTTTGAATGGCGGTGTCCGGGAACTAGATGGAGTGTTAATATAAAATGGGGTGTTTGACCAGTGTAAACGTACATCTGAAAGTATTTTAACAACCTTAGTTGTAGTTGACTTAGCGTTTGCTTCAATAATATTTTGAGATTGACCTTCTTGATTTTCACAATTTAGGCTTGCATGGGTGGCTTGAGAAGTACTATTTAGTATTTCTGGAGAATTCGTTATTTCGTTGATTATTTCAGGTGTAGTATTTGTTTCCAAGAAATCATGTAGTAACTCTTCTTCTAGCTCAATAATAGTTTGAGGTACATCCATGTACCCGAGATGGTAACCATGACTACATTCAATTCCATTTTGGCAAAAAAAGCAACTTAATTTCCTAAAAGTCATTCGCAGATTGTTAGACGACCAAAGCACTTGGTGCACAGACATTGTGCCTTTAAATATATTTACATTTTGTGGGATTTTTCTATCCTCAATATCTTTTTTAGTTATGATATGGATCTCAATATTCTTCATTTTAGCTTTTATTACATTCCAAAAATCTTCTAAGGTACCCACATCTTGTCCGAAGCGTACACAGGCGTCTGCTGTACGTTTAATGACTGCTCCTATTCCGTCAGGAGCTCCTTTACCATGCCCGCTTTCTAAATAATTCCATGTGACATTGTTTAAATTTGGAAACTGCTGCTGTAGTTGTGAAATGATAAAAAATATTTTGCGATTCCGGTACTGGCTCGATGGGCTGTCAGTTAGAAAGTGTATGGTATCTATATCTGTTGTGAAATCTTTTAAACGCTCGATGATTGGTATTATATGTGCCCATATGGCTTGAGCGTCATGTTTGTTATAATCACTGATAGTACACATACTGTTGATTTTATAAGTTCCTGTGTCAGCGTCCAAAAAATACGAAACTGAAGAATGCAATGTAATTAGTTCGGGACTGCCACCGAAGTGTCTAGCCTGTACCTCTTCATGAAATTTGGTGATATAATTTTCCGAAAAGTCCATATGAATCAAAACCTCTCTTGGTGTTAATGATTTTTTTAATTCGTTGATACTTTTATATTGTTGGACAATATTTAAACAGTGTTTGAAGTATCGAGGCAAAGATTTTTCCAGCTTTGTAATTAAATGAAGAGGCAGGCCTTGTAGCTCTCTTTTCGATGTCTTTTTTGAAGCTTTTTCTATCCCATTAACTGAATATTTTTCGGTTTTTGCGGCCCATTCAAAATATTTTATAGGCACGTCGTTTCTAAATTCTCCATATTCAACAACTTTATTAAAGCATAAATTACAAGTTCTATTCAAACACTCTTCTTTACGAGTGTCACAACATAGGTTTTCGATTAAACCTGACCCGTTCGTTTCTTTTATTATTTTGTTTTTATTTAGAGATTTAATCAAAAGGTCCATGTTTACATGTACTATGCAAGAACAAGTATTTCTATTAGATTCTTTTGGGAACACTACCCAAAATGGACGATATTTGCAGAATGTTGAATATCCAACTTCACAGTCATGAGTCTTAAGAAATTTCGCATGCAAATTTGTCAGTGTATCGGTTAGGTACCGCTTCTGCTTAACTAATCCAGCTACTTTTTTAAATTCTTTTTTATCCGCTGCTATTCTGCTGTTACTATCATCTTCGAAAAAGTTTTCAATATCCTGTTTAATTTGTTGTTCATTATTTTCTTTAGTTTTTTGTTGTTTTACCGTAAATGAAGTTATAGTATTCAAAATTTTGTGTTTTTTGAAGTCTTCTTTGACAAATAAATCGCTAAATTTGCGTTTATCATTTTTTGGCATAGTTTTGTATCCAGATTTTATTTGTCTAGTAACGATTTCACCAAAAATAAGTCTTTTCTTTACCTCTTCTTTTTTACTTTCCTCTATATTCTCAACTAAACCTAGTACTTTCTGTTCTGTCGATGGATTATTTACTTGCGATTTTCTTTGGTCTTTGATGAGTCTATGTAAAGTTCTCTGCACTGTTGCCTTCTTTTTTTGTGTTTCTTCTAAGTCTATTTTCAGTTCTAACATTCTTTTATGATAAACGTATCGTAGTTTTCGTATTTTCCGGGATTTTTTAATGCAATCAGTACAAACATTTGGATTTGTTCTGTTATTATTGAAGTGAGATTGCTCACTTGCTTTAAAGATTGGTGCCGATGGTCCTTCTAAAGGATCTTCAACTGCTGCGGGTACTGGCTCTAGATCACTTTCAGGGGGAGAATTGTCAATCAGCAATTGCGCTATTGTTCTTTCTTTTTTCTTTTTTTCCAAATAGCGTTTGCGACTCTCTCTCCAATTTTTTCTTTTTTGACGCTGTTCCCTTGGAGTTAAATCTCTAATAGTTTTTAGTTTATTTTGCTCTTTTCGCCGTAAATATCTTAATCTTTCTTTTTCTTTTTCAATTGCATATTTTTCTGGATCTTCTTTTATTTCTGCGTATTTTAGCCTCTTATAAAGTCGAGCCTGAGCCAATTTTTCCTCACGGGTTTTCTTGGTTTTGACTTTTGTCATAATTTTACCTTAAAGGAGAAAAAAAGCGTCAGGCATTAAGCAATAGTATTACATTAAAACTTTGGAAGAAACTTAAGAAAATAGTATAGCGAACGACATTTCAAACAAAAGCGAGAAAATATATTAAATAAATCATGTTCTTCATTGTTCAATTTATGGTGGACTAGCTTTTACCCGCAGCTCCGCTCCTATGACATAGAGTACATGACTGCGATAAAATTACTTTTAGCCATATTTTGGACCCAAAACTATCCCTACTTAAAAAACCATGTTAGTAAACAAAATATTAGTAGGAATGGTGATTAAAATCTTGAGACACTGCAGTGTTTTAATGGATTATACATATTAATCAACCTAACTTTATCTAACTTGCGTATTTTAATAAAAACAAGAAAAATAAAAAATAAATCAATTTTATGTCATCACCATTACTTTTGCGTCATTACCTTCACTTTAAAACTGATGGTAATTGATGGTAGTGACTACGAGGGTAGTGACGTTTTGGGTCATTTTTATTTTTAATTCTGTTATTATAAATGCAAAAAAATATATAAATTTACTCGTAAAAATTGAACCAAAGACGAACATTGTAGACGTATTAAATAAACATAAATAAATTTACTCACCCGAAATATTTTGGTTAAGGTAAAGACCACAAAAATGTGACAAACGTGATTTCTAACAACACTAACGTAAATATATTTTTTCTCTCAAACGCACGGGTTTCTCCGTCGGGTTCTCTTGGTCGACTGAGCTGTGTGGAAGCGAGGGGGGTGAGCGGGAAGAAAGTAGGATGTACACGTAAAAACATATTTAAATTTCCTCGCCGGCTTACGGATATGACATTTTTTTCGTGACAAAGATAATTATATTGTTTTAAAAATAACTTAACGTTTTGTATATTTATATAGGATAAAAATTACAACTTTACAATTGGCTTAACGCAATAAATAAATTATAGATATGTGAAACTGTTATTTCATTGAAATTTAAAATTGTTTTCTTTTGTAGTCACGTTGAGGACACTGAAGGTGGTGACATTTTGGCATTAAAATATTTTTTTTCTTTTTATGGGCTTACTTTTTTACTGTCGTATTTTAGTGTACTAGCTAGATAAGTGTAATTAGGTTGCATTACAGTTATTAAATTGCTCGAAATGTATATATTTATTTTTTTATACTATAAAACATGCGATTGGCGTGAAATCAGAGAAATACCAATACAAACATACATACATACGTACATAAATACATATTTTATATGTATGTATTTAAGTGATAAATACATTAATATTAACACTTTGTTTTTTATGGATTCTTTTTTTTTTAATTTCCTATACAAGGTTAAAAGAGCAGATAACGATGGATTCAAATTTTATTGATCGTAAAGTCACAATTATCTCAGTCAGGAATCGAATCAGTATCCTCCGGCGTCGTAAGCAGTGCCAGTTATATGCATAAACTACGGCAGTTACATTTCATCACTACATTAGGTCTTAGCTAAATTGATCGGTCATATTGGCTATTTACGAAGATGGTGAACAAATTGTTGTGAAAAATTTATTATATGATTATTTTTATTCTCTTAAATAAAACTGAATTGTCTGTCTGTGATTTCTAAATTGTTTTAGTGAGATGGTATGGTTATTTGATTAAATTAAACTGCTAAAAAAGTTGGCCTGTCTGTTTTTAGTTGTTCGGACAAAGTCAATTCTCCAAACACGTAGGACATAAGTTATTTTTATCCCGCAGTATAACAAGTGTTATAGTAGTGGCGGCCTCAACTCTTAGAAGCCCAGCAGTGGGATGTTAAAAAGGCTAAATTATTATATAAAACTTGGAACTAAAAAAAAAATGTTTGATTTATTATGTATCTGTCGCTTAAGATTTTAAGGATGAAAAGTTACTTTACTATAACTTTAACCCGCGGAAAAGGTACTGAAGCTGTACAATTTTTAGCTCAGTTAGGGTGTAGTGAGGCTGATGCGGAATAGAGTCAGATAAATTGTTCTCATTATAAATGCAAATTGTTGTTATTAATTACTATCGGTTCGCTCGGTTGCATCTTTAGATACCTAACTATAGCCTTTTTGTTACTCTAGGTCTTAGTCCACCTGTGTACTAAATTTTCTTGCCTTTATAGTGTGAAAAAGTAGGTAACAAAAATACACACACATACAAACTTTCGTTATTATAATAGTAGTTAGTTTATTTTAATGTATATGAATACGGTTTGTAAGGTAAGTTTTAAGTAGATTTGAGTTTATGTTCCATTTAGGCTTTTTTATTACATTTCTTTAGTTTATTATATTTTTTTAGAGATATAGCTAACATTTTTACTGTGACCTCGGCTATAATTTTCCTTCACGGAAATGAGCCACCCGCTATCGGTAGGTATACAGTATACTGGTATACTTACCCGATAGATTTTCCTACAATATGTTGCATCAAAGTTATCTGCTTTTAACGTTGGGAAATGCATTTACGCATACCTCTTGCATATATGTAGGTAGGACTAACCAGCCAGAAAAGCCAGCAGTACCCGCTTAAACCCAACGGAACCTCCACAATTTAACGGGGCCTCGCAGAATCATTTATGCACTCAACCACGACGCCCCGACAGCTTGCCTGCCGGTGCAGACCCCAATAACTATGTGGTTGCTCCCACAGTCCACTCTGCTAATACACCTAGTGACGCCTTCTAAGGATGGTAACCTAGTTTTTACGGGAATAATGGTATTTTATATGGTTGTCATTTAGATCTCAGTAATGTGCTATAGTAATATATACAAAATACTCTTATACTTAAAATATTTCATTTACATTTATAATGCGAGAGTTTTGTATAAAATTAATATTTACCACAAATTATTTTACATTATACTTTTTCAAACGTCTTCTGTTCAGTTCTTTCACTGTACATAATCAAGCGAAAAACTACACTTTGTTGCAATTTAATTTCTTGGTATCTAGTCCATATAATATTTAATAATTAGAAATAACAAATATTACGATATATTACATTTGGTTTATCTAAAGCACCAGTTTCTATTTCAATTTCACAAACTCAACAAAATGTACATAATATTATTAAAAAAAATTAGAACATGAATATCTCACGAAATACATATAACATTAAGAAACTTATAAGAAAAATAAGTAAAAAAAAATTTTACTCTCGAATTACCGACATTTTGAGTGTGTTCTGCTAATTAGCCAATTAATCACTGGCATTCAGAAAACAGTAGCTATGCGTAATGCGAGCAGTAATTTTTATATTTACGCATCCTTGCTCTTAACTATTATGAGAGCTGAAATTACAAGAATTCAGGCCTTATATGTCGCAATTATACGAAACCTACTATCATTAATTATATTAATGATAAGCTGACAAATGAATAGTGTTACATATTTAGTCTAAAATAGCGCTCATTCACATACTATACATATACTAGGCTACTAGCAGCACCCGCGGCTCCACTCGTGTTCAATCTACAAAAAAACTCTTTGGCTTTATATTATACAGCGACTCACCCTAGCTTCGCTCGGGCTCGTCGCTATGTATTTATATAATATTGTTCATACAAAAATATTAAAATCACGATTAAAAAATAGGGGGTAGGAAGGTAAAAAATACTTTACGACCTATTCTTATACCTACCAAATATACAAAAAAAAAACTCATTAAAATCGGTCTAGTCGTTTCGGAGGACTGCGACCACAAACACAATCACACGAGATTTTCATATATTATATGTACTTGTTATAGTTCACACGAATGTATTTGTATGAGATAGTATCGTATGTATTTAGTAACTCAATTTAAGTTAGACTTGTTTTTAAAGATCTTTATTATGAACTACATATAGCGTTTATTGCTGCATTCGAGAG